GGTGTCAGGAAAACTTGTCAGAAGTGATTCATGCTGATAGAAGAGGAATGAAGCAGCAGATAGAAATTACACTTCGTGCTCTTAATTGAGACAAGTACACACTATAGAGGGATATGCTTTATTCATATTTCATGTCTGAGGTTTACAACCACTTGAAGGTAAAAATCCTTATACAGATACAACCAGTTTAAACCTACCTGACGCAGTTTTATACCACAGTGCTAGAGGTGGGGAAATCACAAGCCCACAATGTGCTGCACTTAGGTTGTCTTTGGTCCTCTCTCAAAGAGGAAGGACCCCCTCCCTGACCCCCTTGGACTCAAGCCTCCTAATGGGTGTAAAGCACACTCAGGTCAACCTAGCCAAAAGGCCTGGCGAACCCCTCTCCTTGTGATCAGTCAACACCGACCACTGAGTCTGGGTAGTAGGCTCTCCTGAAGAGAGATCGCCCTCAAGGCAGTGAGGAAGGAATCTAATGCCCTCACATCCTGCCCCTAGACGTCAGTGTAGGCCCAAAGACTGACACCCTTCAGTAACCGCTTCCCGTTCACCCTATAGCAAAAGTACTGCTACAGGGTGGCACGGGTGTGCAAAATCACGTATATACACGTTATTTTGCATTTCCGGGTAGAAGGGGTGCACGAGGTGCGCGCCTTCCCTACCCGCGCTGCCATTCATCAGGTCTTGGCCGGTGATTGCTGAGCATCTCCGATGGGGGGGGGGGGGGAGAACTGTTTGCAAACAAAACAGTTATCTCCCCTGTCAGCTACTGCACAGCCATGCAAAGCAGTGTGATTACAGTGAAGCACTTTGATTGCAACCCTTTGATTGCCCCTCATGTGAACCCCTTCCCGCCCAGTGCCATTAGTACAGTGTCAGTGCTTTTTATTAGCACTGATCACTGTATTGGTGTCACTGGGGATGTCAGTGACACCAAGTCAGTTCCCCCCAGTGTGAGAATGCCCACTGCAGTCCCTCTATAAGTCGCTGATCGCCTCCATTACTAATAAAATAACAAAAAAAAAATCCCAGTATATAAAACTACCATTTGTAAACTCTATAACATTCATGTAGACCAATTAATTTACATGTATTGGGGTTATTTTTAGCAAAGACATGTAGCAGAATACATTTTGGCCTAAATTTATGACAAAATTAGATTTTTAAATTTTTTTTACTGGACATGCTTAATAGCAAAAAGTCAAAAATATTGTTTTTTTCTCAAAATTGTTGCTTTTTTTTGTAGCGCAAAAAATAAAAAATGCACAGGCAATCAAAAACCACTGAAAGAAAGCTCTATTGGTGGGGACAAAAAAAGGACATATATTTCATTTGGGTGCAGCGTTGCATGACCACGCAATTGTCAGTTAAAGTAACGCAGCGTTGTAACTCAAAAAAATGGCCTGGTCAGGAAGGGGGGTAAATCCTCAGGAGGGCAAGGGGTTAAAGTTAAAAAAACAAAACAAACCACACAACACAACACAACACACACACACGGCATTTTTGCAGCCACTTTTAGGGGTGTCAGGTGTATTTTTTTTACTGCTTCCAAATGGTCCTCCATGTCATCCTATGTGTCCATGTTATCCTATGTGGCCCTCCATGTCATCCTATGTGTCCATGTCATCCTATGTGTCCATATCATCCTACGTGGCCCTCCATGTCATCCTACGTGGCTCTCCATGTCATCCTACGTGGCTCTCCATGTCATCCTACGTGGCCCTCCATGGTCATCCTACGTGGCCCCTCATGGTCATCCTACGTGGCCCTCCATGTCATCCTACGTGGCCCCTCATGGTCATCCTATGTGTCCATGTTATCCTATGTGTCCATATCATCCTACGTGGCCCTCCATGTCATCCTACGTGGCTCTCCATGTCATCCTACGTGGCTCTCCATGTCATCCTACGTGCTCTCCATGTCATCCTACGTGGCTCCTCCATGTCATCCTACGTGGCCCTCCATGTCATCCTACGTGGCCCCTCATGGTCATCCTATGTGTCCATGCACACCTAGACTTTTACAAGCTTTTAGTAGCAGTAGTATTTACCAGAAAAAACCCCCAGGGCCAGTACATCCAGGAGCAGCAGTGTCTTGGCAGAAAAAATGCTTGATGCATGTAAACGTGTCTAAACATGTGTTACCACTCAAGCGCTAAATGCCTCTAGCGCAAATTCATTTAAATGGCCAGAATAAATTATTCTGACCAATTAAATGAATTAACGCCGGAGAGCTTGACACTTGTAAACACGCCTGAACGCTTGTAAAAGCATTAGACACTTTGATAAGCGCCAGGCGCTTTTTCTGCCAAAACGCTGCTGCCAAGAGGAGGAGCGTTTTTAAAACGTCCTGTATGCATGGGGCCTAACAGAGGAACCTTGGTGGGAATTCACTGCTCATGTATACCACTCCCCAACATCAAGACCCATGCCTGTATATCAGTCCAAATGCTGTGATAGATAAAGTGCCCTGAGATCTATATGCATAGCATTGAGGCACATCAACTGCAGCAACACCATGGTCATAGAAACCACACACAGCTTAAAATGAGTCAGGGATAGGCCTCCTGCACATTCCCAGAATCAGAATCTGCCATTTCCAAAACTACCAGATTGCTGTATGTGTGCTGACCTGGATAACAGAGAAGCCCTGAGCAGAAAGGCTGCATGTTCCTTCTATACATTTCATTTCAATGCTCATCAATGACTGCAGTGTACCATTAAAACAATAAAAGTAAAAGTAGCTTTTGGTTATTTTTATTTTCAGTTTAAATGGAGATTTTAAATCCAGTTACATGACACCCTGGAATCCTCTTAACCTTCCTCCTACACAACTGGTATACGGTTGTCTATGATGCAAAGACCTGTTCAGTACTGTCCTCTTCAGCACCCTTCTTGATGATGCACCCCCATGGGACATGTCCTTGTCAGCCTCGGCTTTCAGGAAACAACTTGAATTTGACAGATGAATTCTACATTGGGAACTGCTGAGCAAAATCACTGCAGCTCTATGCTTATGACACGGACTCCCATAAATAATATACCATGCCAGCATCACACAGAATACTATACAATCAGCTTCCTTGAACAAATGAGCACAACACATTCTGCCTTCTTTAATTTCTTTTACAGCTTTCTGCATTTGGTCCCACAACATCACATGACATTTCAAAGCTGCAAAGAAAATTGCTGCACAAAGATGTTCTTTTCCCAGGTAATTGTAGGTCTGAACAGGGGGCAGATAGATAGTTACTTCCAGCAGTGGACACTGACTTTGGGTCCTGCTCGAAGGTCTAATTATTGAACTATCTCCACTCAGCCCAACATATGTAATATTTGTACTAGATCCAAGAGTAAATGAGTCCCAAGCCCTCCCTGTTGCTAGACATTGGTTAAAAAAAAAAAAAAAAAAAAAAAAAAAAAAAAAAATCAAGTTGGAGTCAAGTCTCTTAAAAAATTTAATTGAAATATATTCATCTACACATATGTGCAGCGCTAAACATAGTATTAAGATAGTCTGTCCCACACAAAGTATTCAATAAAAACAAAGGTGACAGTCTGTGCAGATAAATGGTGCGGAATAAAAATTCAGTTTCAGGCGCACACACTTCTTCAGAGGCGGATACCAATTGGTGCGCACGAAACGCGTTAGTTGCCAGGACACCGTCACACCGCCGGAGCCAAGTGGAGGCCCGGCGGCCATCCTGCTTTCTGGATGGTTAGTCCATAATATACCTGACGCTGCATCATAGTATCATTGCTTTTACTCGGATTGTGCTTTTTACTCGGAATTTGCAAATTCATTTATTTTATAAATTACAGTTTAAACTACTACACTATGGGCACTCTTTATGGTCTCCCTTGAGGAGCTATTTATTTACAGAGCCCACCTGATCCAGCCATCTACTGAATCCAGAGAAGGGAGTTCCTGTAAGCAGGCACCCATCCATCCCTTAAAAGGGACCTCTGGCCAGCTGGATCCTTTTACTTTTCTGTGTGCCCCTGACAATACCACCTTGAGGGAGGATTATCATTGCCCCAGACCAGATCCATATCCATAAAGGAGACCTCTACTGGTTCATATAATACGTATTTATATTACACATCTGGTGAGTGCATAATTTTACCACACTATCTGGAGCACCGCCACTGGATTTTTATTCCGCACCATTTATCTGCACAGACTGTCACCTTTATTTTTATTGAATATCTAATGTGGGACAGACTATCTTAATACTATTTTTAGTGCTGCACTTATGTGTATGTTTCTGACAAGGTTTTATACTGGTTGCCTTGAGTGTTTTCAGCTGCTGATTAGAGAGTGCTCACTCCTCTATTGTATTTTTATCAATAAAAAAGATATATTCATCAATAGCCACAAAAGATATAAATCCACTTTGTGTACATCAAATGTCTTTACAACCGCTCCAGATATCGTCTTGTAAAAGTCATGATGACATCATCACTGGGTTGCACATAGCCGATACAGGGAGCAGAGCTGTGGGAGGAGCCCAGCAGCTCCACCCACTACAGGCTACCTTCAGATAAAACTACAGGAGGGGGTGGAGACAAGACCAGTCACCTTGCACATACAGACACAGCAGTAGTGACCAGTCTTTATTACAGGAAGCTTCTGCTCACAGAACATGTGTGATTACTACACAGATCTGGAAGAAATGCACAAATGACACCAAGATTCAAGTAAGAATACAAGTCTTACATTTTGACAATTTTCGCTTATCCCAGAGTTCAGTTTTCAGGGAAAAAGTGTGTTTTTCCAATGGAAAGCCGATAAAACCTTTCAGCTGTACGAATCAATTTTTTTTGTAGTGATGGTCACCTAGAAAAGATGCTTTGTAAATCTCTTCTTGACAAACCAGAATTTGCCACAAAAAAATTGTCCATTTAGTTTCCAGTGTGTATGGGTAGCCTTTCATATTATACCTGACACATTCACAGACACTGAGCTTTTCCATCTGGTTAGAACACTTCATATCTGACCTGTTGCTCCCAGAGGATGTCCCTTGGAGATCAATCCCCCACTTGGATTGACGACCCACCGACCTCCATACGTGTTGTTCCCTCTGTCAATCAGTTCTCCAGCTTTACCTAAGATAAAAAGAGAAAAAAATTACAAGATGTTTAACTGCTTTCCCACCCAGATATACTGCTACAGGGCAGCAGGGATGCACAAAACACACACACACACACACACACACATATATATATTTCCAGGTAGGGAACGCACGCGAGCCGTGCTCACACCCTACCCACGCACCCATTCACGGACGTGGCTGTCAATCACCAGGTCCCAGCCACTGATTGCAGAGCATCTCCGACGGGGAGGAGGACTGTGTTGTTTACTAACAGTTCTCCTCCCTGTCAGGTCGGGCACACTGCTTTGGATGGCTGTGCACAGCAAAGTTATTCAAAGCAGTGTGCTTATAGTAAAAACACTCTCTGCACACAGTTAACCCTTTGATCGCCCCTCATGTTAACCCCTTCCTGCCCAGTGCCATTAGTCCAGTGCCAGTGCTTTTTTTTAGCACTGATCACTGTATTGGTGTCACAGGGGATGTCAGTGACACCAAGTCAATTTCGCCCAGTGTCAGAATGTCCGCCGCAGTCCTGCAGTCCCGCTATAAGTCATTACTAGTAAAAAATAAAAAAATTCCAGTATCTATACCACCATTTATAAATGCTATAACTTTCACATAAACCAATTAATTTACACGTATTGGGATTTTTTCTTAGCAAAGACATGTAGCAGAATACATTTTGTCCTAAATTTATGATGAAATTAGATTTTTTACTGGACGTGTTTAATAGCAAAAAGTCAAAAATATTTTATTTTTTTCTCAAAATTGTTGGTCTTTTTTTTATAGCGCAAAAAAAACAAAACAAAAAAAAAGCACAGGCGATCAAATACCACCAAAAAAAAGATCAATTCATGGGAAAAAAAGGACATAAATTTCATTTGGGTGCTGCATTGCATGACCGCGCAATTGTCAGTTAAGGTAACGCAGCACCGTAACACTACAAATGGCCTGGTCAGGAAGGGGGGGGTAAATCCTCTGGAGGGCAAGTGATTAATTAAACTATCCTAGCAAGCCTATGTTAATTTTATCTCATAATGTATTTATTTTTACAAATGCCCAAAGTAGAACTGCAAACCTTTTTTTTTTTTTTTTTTTTTTTTTTAAATACAATGTGGGTTAGCCCCCGTCAAGTTTTTATTCCCTGTTGGGAATATTTCCCTTCACTTCCTGTCCCACAAACATGACAGGAAGGGAGTGGAACTCTCCCTGGATAATAAAAAATCCTCCTCTATTACAGCAATCACGCTAGGTGTCTCTATTGGAAGATTTCCCCTGACCTCCTGTTGTGGTGGCAAACCTAACATTTCAGATATCCCCAGATATGTTGGCCACTGGGACAGTTTTAGGAAATCTTTCCAATGTGGGACATAGACAGCAATAAAAACCTGACACAGATTCTAAATCTTCCCCACTCAACAAACAACTATTACATTAAAAAAAAACCAAAAAAAAAACACACACTTCTTTACATGTCCTTGTTGAGGATTTCCAACCTACTGAATACTGAATAGGTCATCCATCTTTTGCTTCACCCAGTAGTTGCTCTGAAATAGCCTATTCATTTTCAAATCTGTTTGCAATACCGGTGGCTGCTATGCCTCCTATTCCCCCAGCCACTGGTCTTGGCACATCCCTTCTGTAGTTCTCTCTCCAGGAAGCAATGATGTAATTCTGCACCACTTGCAGACCGGGACTCTCAGACATATTCAACATATACAGGCCTAGTGTACCCAACCACATTCACTACAATTCCCTGTGGTTGATGGGAACTGTAGTTTCCTTTTCCTGCAGAAAGAGCAGAGGATATGATGTAATCCCGGCTGTTACACCTCCTCCTTGGCAGAGCAGATGCCGTTACCTTTTGAATTACAGAAATACGGTCATGAAAATTCCATTAGACTTCTAAATAGTAAGGATTTTAGTGTTTTTTGTAGGAGGGTAGTAATGGTGATTTTTTTTCTACCTATCCAGGAGTTCTTCTTTAAATTTATTCCACAAAGAAATGTGCAAAATATGCACAAATTATAAAACAGAAATGAAACATCAAACTATAAAGTTTACTACAGAGTTCTTCATCTGTATGTGGAATACATGCTAGCAGTAGGCAAGTGTTCAATATGAAAAAGACACCAAAATGACTACCACTGAAAAAAAATTTGATTAACTATTAACCTTACAGGTTGAATATGTGCCAAGTACATGACTATGTCAGGGACTGACCCTTTCGCCTGCTGTATATCTGATAATAAAATGTACATATCTTCTGTGTGTAAAGGGTGCCCACCTTTATACCACTAATCAAAGGAGTTTGTTTGATAATCTTGGCAATGGGTTAAATGGCTAAAACACAAACAACTACCATAGTGTTCACTGTATTCTTCTCGGTTTATGTCGGTGGAAGGTGTTCATTGTCTGATGGCTCTCAGATTGAACTTTGTTGTTCCTTTGTTTTATATTCAATATTTCAGCCCTTATGCAGGCCATAGATGGGGAGAAAACCGGCCGGTTTTTTAACAAAAAAACTAAAAATTGGTCGTTCAATAGGCCGACGTAACCACCGACAGTAAAAAAAAAAAACAAAAAAAAAAAAAAAAAAAAAAAAAAAAATGGCCGATTTTCTTTCCGTCTGCAGCCCCGCTATTATTTTTGACATTAAAAGGTATTGCGGTTTCAACATTGTATCTATTTGTATCCATTTCGGATACAGATGGTTTTTCGGATACAAATAGATACATTGTTGCAACCGCAATACTTTTTAATGTCAAATATAGTAGCGGACTGCAATTCTTCTTCTTTCTCTTCTTCTTCCTCTTCTTCTTCCTCTTTTTCTTGCAGGTCACGGCTTATGCGCAGATTTTTTATTGGTAAAAAGATCGGTCGATTTGCCCATCATTGCCGTGAAAATCGGCTGATCGGCAAAATCAGCTGATTTTTTTCCAACTTTACTGATCAAAAAAATCTGACAAAATCCAGAAAAACGGCCGACCAATTAACCCATTAACAGTGCGAAAATTGGCCGTTTTTTTTTTCGGCCGAAAAATCAGCTGATTTTCGACCCATCTATGGCCTGCATTATTTTCCCTTTATATCTACTACTTTATTATATTTTACTTTTAGATTGGTTAAAATAGAAGAAGTTTGAACTTTTTTTATCAGATTTGTTTGTAGGTACCTGAACATCACCCCTATACGTGTGTCCAGCTTGTCGGACATCCCACTACCAAAACCCTGGGCATGAATATAAAGACTTTTCACAAGCTTTTGAAGTGTGTCTGTGGGAATTTGTGCCAATTGGGCCAAAATAGCATTTGTGACATCAGACACTTATTCTGGATGAGAAACCTTGGCTTTCCATTTGCATTCCAATTCATCCCATGGGTGTTCAGTATGGGTGAGATCAGGGTTCTGTGTAGGCCCCTTGAGTTCCTGCACACCAAAAGTCAATCCCTGGGCAACTTTCATTGGTTGAACCTTTCACAGGGTTTATACACCTTCTCGTCTACCCCATATTTGTGGGCCAGGAGATTGGCTCAGGCTCAAGCACTGCTTTCCGGGAGGAAGGGGAGAAGTTCACATGCTCCTCCATGTCCAAAAGACAAATAGAGAGGAGCATAGAGGGACACAAAGAAGGTAAACCTCAGCAGGTCAGGGGTGGGCTAGCAAAAGAACCTGACGATTTACCATGAATTTGCAAAGTGACGCTATAAACTTAAAATAACCAATAGAAATTCTATTACCCCTTTTAAAGCACAGAAACAGGTCTTGGTATTGTAACAAAGGCTGGGAAGAAGGGAAGGCCCACCTGCAGGACAGAGTCCCAATGCTTCATATGTAATGAGTTCATTAGCAGAGAAGCAATCATGAAGTTCAATCACATCCACATCTTCTGGCCTCAAGCCGGTCTTCTGATAACAGCGATCAGCTGCAGTCTTACTCATGTCAAAGCCAGCCTGTTAGGAATACAAGAGCAAGACAAAAATACATATAAGTATATAACAGGAAAACAAACAATTACAGAGGACAGATAGGAGCAATGGATAGGGCACAATTTTCAGGAAAGCTCGTACAATACCTACTGTAATAATGAGAAGCCATAGCAGAATACATGAAATATGCGATTATATTGGAGCACAAAGAAAATCTCCAAGCAAACATGGAGCATAAAAAAAATGCTTGTTAGGTGAATTATGCATTCCTTTAAAAGTAATGACAATGACAAAAAGGAAGGGAACAACATCTTATTATTACAGGTACTTTTATAGCGTCATCAATGTGCGCAGTGCTTTTCATACATATTGTACATTCATTAATCAAAAAAAAAACCTGCGCCAAAAATATATATTTAACTCCTAAACCAATGCTGCTGCTCTTTGTGGACAAACCATCAAACAAAATAAATAAAAATAACAAAAAACACAGCACAAAATAAATATACACATAAATAAATTAAAAATAAATAATTTGGTGAGCGCAGTATATGTTGGTTATCACGGATGATATTAAACACACTGAAGTTTTCTGCATATGGCACGGTTTTCATATATTTTTTGGAGCACATTGGATTTAATATTTTTTCTTTTTTTGGACTATTATTTAATATTTTTATTTAAGTTTTTTTGAATTTATTTATATGTATTTTTTTTTAACTGTGTTTTGTTATTTTTATTTATATTGTACATTCACATCAGTCCCTGCCTTCAAGGAGCGTACAATCTAAGGTCCCTAACTCACATATACATATACTGGGGTCAAGTTAGACAGGAACCAATTAACCTACCAGCATGTCTTTGGAGTGCAGGAGGAATCCGAAGTGGCTGGTGGAAACCCACACAGGCACAGAGAGAACATGCAAGCACCAGGCAGGTAGTGTCATGGCTGGGATTTGAGCCAACGATTCTAGCGCTGCTAGACTGAAGTGCTAACCACTTAGCCACTGTGCTGCCCATTTTATTGGTGAGCTGCTCAAAAGAAGCAGTACTTTACAGGCCCATTATTTGTACATGACAAGCAGCTAGGTCCCTTTAAATGGTGGTAGATACATGCACCAACCTCATGTACAGGGTCAGGAAATCAGCCTTGCATTGGGAGTGTAGGGGGAGGTGTTTAGGTTAAAGAAGCCTTTCTCAACCTTTTTTCCCCCCAGAGGAAGCCCTGAAATAATTTTCAAGTCTTGGAGAACCACTGCTAAAACCATTTCATTGTTGGTCAGTGGGAAAAATGCCTCTTACATTTGTGGATAATAGGGTTGCACAGATACCGATATCGGTGCCGATACTAAGCATTTGCACGAGTATCAGTATTCGTGCAAATGCTCCGATACCTGAAATCAATACCTTCAGGCTCAGTTCTTTCAGCGGTCAGCAGAATTCCCCGCTGATGGCTGAAATGAAAAAAAAAAAAACAAAATAAAAAAAAAAAACAACAAAAAACTGTCAATTAATGGTTGTGTAGTTCTTAACAACCCATGACTCAATGAGCTGTGAGCTGGGTTCCCCCGATGACAGCTGATGTATACACAAGTCCTGGCAATTTGGTCAAAAAACAATAGTAGCCAGGCAATGTTTATCAACAATTGTAGACACATTATTTCTCTTTGTATCTTTCTGTTTATTCATCTACAGATCAAAAGTTAAAAGCAACCTATCAAGTAAAAAAAAAAAGTTTGTTTTTTTTAATTAAATGTTCCTCTGTTTAACCCTTTGAGGACCGTAAGGTTTTGGAACGCCAAAAGAATACATTTTTTTGTTTTTAAAGTTCATACACTTCATTTGCTGTAACTAAGCCATTTCATGAAATAATTGGCAAAAAGCTAGATCCATTTGTTGTTTGTTGATAAGAACTAATATTTTGACTCAAACCAAAAAAAAAAAAAAAAAAAAAAAAAAAAAAAAAAGAGTTTTAAGTTCTTAATCAGATGATACACGCAATTACAAACATGGGACAAATACGTCCCTTGGTCCTCAAAGGGTTAATCCCTTATTAACACTAAATTTACTGTAATCAGCCCTAATTAACTCCTTTCCATTTAATTTTCCTGCTGATTTTTTTTGTTCATTTCCATTTTATGAACTAATAATTAAAACGTATTTTCCTGAGGAAGTCACGTGATGTGACGTAACGCATAGGGTACGCTGATGACGTCAGGCCGCAGACTGGAAGTGCACGTGTCGCCATTTTGGAAAAGGGATTTCTGCACACTTCTTACAGCAAACACTGTATAGTGAGTTTTTAACCCTGTAGTGTCCCACGAGGACACATTTTAATGTAAGTTTTACAAGATTGTTTTAAATAAGGGCTGTTTTGAGTGGCAATACTACACTATATTAAGCATTCTTTTCACATGGATGTGGAGCGATCTGAAGATGTTTAAAAGTGCTGGCTAACGGTGGTGAAGATCTGTGTACCAGTATACCCTCCAGGGTTAAAAGGGAAAGCGCAGTTTGACCAGTCATTATGGGTCAAACTTGGAGGCGAGCGCAATAGAGTGTTGGAAGTGGATGAGCACTAAGGGGTGACACAGGAGCACCGTACACATTTACACAGTAGTGTGTTACACTGGTCTATGTGAAGTACAGCGGATTTAAAGGGACAGTTCACCATTTTCTGAGACTGTATTTGGATGACACTTGTAGTTGGTGTATGTGGATCACGATTTAAAGGATATATACCACATAAGTCCACGTGCTGATATTCAAGATTTAAAGGGACAGTTCACTATTAAGGACATTGTGTTAGTTATTTGTGTGCACAATTCGTTTATAGCACCGGTTATGTGCAGTTTATGGGGTCCTAGATGTATGTATTGGTAAGACATCTGATATGGCACACACTGATTTTCACAAGCACAGTTTGTTTTTTCATTTGCATGTATTATATTGTTAGCACCATATTTGTATATATATTGGTGCGCTGCATTTTTTCATTTATTTATGTTTTACAATTGGGAACACATTATATGCTAGTCGCACAAGTTCTTTAGGAGGTCCATAGCGCTGAAGGTTTTCTATACACCTGTTGCAAGACAATATTCATGAAAAGAAAGTCTTATTTGTAATTAAAAAACAATATATGTATTACGTTGTTTTCTTAAGTAATGACAATGAGATCGCTGAATAAAACAGGTCCATAGCAGAAATGTAGAAATTTCTCTGGTCCATAAGAGGTGAACAGGTGTGAGCCATAGTGGTTATCGAGTGGGGCCGCCACGTCTTTAATAATTGATCACTCATTCAGCTGTCAGTGGGGTTCCCCTGCTGACAGCTGTGACAGATGAAGGGTAAACAAAACAGTTGCTGGCAGGTATTGGTAACTGGTACCAAACGGTAAAAAAGCATCGGTATTTGAACTCACTGTAAAAAATTGGTATCGGTGCCAGGGGCGGACTGACTCATGGGGACTCATGGGGCCCCCGGGCAATAGGGGATCATGGGGCCCCCATGTCCTTACCCAAACTCAAAAAAGCCTATGAAAAAGGTACCAGGGGCATCTCATGGGGCCCCCGTACTGACCCTGGGCCCTCGGGCAGTGCCCAAGTTTCCAAATGGTCAGTCCGCCCCTGATCGGTGCATCCCTATTGGTTAGAGATACAACCTCTACAGACCACTAAAAAGATCATTAGCTTCATGCAGCCGGCTCTGCCAAGTGGTGTTGACTCTGGAACTATGCAGGCACCATTAGATGGAAGGTCAATCAGCCACGGTTCAAGGAACCCCTAGCAACCTCTGGAATTACCCTGGTTTAGAATGGCTGAGTTAGATTCTTAAGCTTTTGGGAGGAAGAGAGCTCAGGGTACCTGTCATCAGTGTGTATAGTCATCCAATGAGTAAGCTGGAGCTGGGGCAGCACGGAATCTGCAGAGCTGCAGGCAGTGAAATATGCGGTCACTCTGTTTATATCATGCAGTTATACAGTACATATTTGGATTACAAAGGTTATATCCATCAGTTTACAAACCACTGAGAATGCAAGTTCCTATGAACAAAATTTCAGCTGTGTATTTAGCCATTGGCCTGGACATTTATTGGAGCAGTTAAAAGTACCCCAATCTTACCATTTTAATGCAACTTTGCTCCTCAAAACTGCTGGCGGTATCAGTGACCATCTCCTGTGCCAAGATCTCTACTGCCTGGCTTTCCAACCTGTGTTTATGAACAAAGTCCTTACTAACCACTATAGCAGCTGCTGCTCCATCTGAAGTTGGGCTGCGGAAAAAAAAAAAAAAAGGAAGAAGGAGATAGTCAACCTGGCAATATCCATAGTAGATCAATATTAACACAAGCATTACTAGCAGTTCACTTCAGTCACTGAGGCAGGACACTGCATCTATACAGGACAGGTCCCCCTGTCATCCATTATATATTGTGCAGGATTATTTATATTTGCTGTACATATATTATCAGAGGCTGCCTGTTCAGCTTGAGACCACCCAATGTCCGAGTGGCAGCCGTTACCTGGTTGATCTTACATTCACTGAGACATTCATAAAGATTGTCTACATTCCTCCAATGGCAGCACACGGTCCACAATGTTCTCGAAAGGGAAAAGCTGACGAATCAACATAGGAGTTACCCAAATTATACAAATGATGGTCTCCTGGCTAACCTCTGCAATGCACTGCCTGTCTCTCTCATTGTCTATCCTTATGTTTCTTTAACTTTATCATGATTTATTATACAAACTTATTGAATTTGTGTTTGGGTTGCTCCTTAGTCCACTAACTATGTATTACCTATTTGCAGTATAATGTTGCACTTTGTGGTTTCATATAGTATTCTGGTATTTTTTACTGAGTTGGCATACTCGGTTGATTAAAAAAGCAAGAATATCCAGTGCTGCAATGTCACTATAATGTATCAAAATCAAACACCAAATACAAAAGAGCAGCACTCACTGTATCTATACATACTGATACAAAAGTAATCTAACAAAAATATATGTGTTTCACTGTCAAAAATTGCAAAAAAAAGCAATGTGCAAAAATTACTAAATTATTAGATCATAAATAACAAATCAATTGATGAATGGTGAATAAATAATGATTAAATACATAAAAGCCCCAAAATATATATTATGACAATGAATATATGAGTAATAATCAGGAAAATAAATAGATTAAAAGTTCCAAAAGACATAAAAATTCATGAAAGGAGTGACTAAACAATCACAAAAAGTGCATAAAAAAATCAAGGTGCTCCACTTGTGCACCGGGCAACAGTCATGAGTATCCTGTGCCTCCACTCTTCACCATTGTGCACTTCACTTTTTGCTATTAAACATATCCAGTAAAAAAAATAAAAAAAAAATCAAATTTCATCATATAATTTACGCCCAAATGTATTCTGCTACATGTCTTTGCTAAAGAAAATCCCAATACATGTAAATTAATTTGGTTTAAGTGAAAGTTCTAGCGTTTACAAATGGTGGTATAGATACTGGAATTGTTTTTTTTTTTTTTTATTATAGCGGGACTTCGGCGAGCATTCTGAAACTGGGATGAACTGACTTGGTGTCCCTGACATCCCCAGTGACACCAATACAGTGATCAGTGCTACAGAAAAGCACTGACACTGTACTAATGGCACTGGGAAGAAAGGGGTTAACATGAGGGGCTGTGTTCTGGGAGTGTTTTACTGGGGGGCGGTGTGTTAGTGCCTCACTATAATCACACTGCTCTGGATGGCTGTGCTGAGCACAGCCATCCAGAGCAGTGTGCCCGAGCCGACAAGGAGGAGGACTGTTCGTAAACAAAGCAGCCCTCCTCCCAGATCCTTGGTAATCACTGGGCGCCGGTGGATAATCACCGGTCAGGACCCGGTGACTGACAGCCACGAATGGCGGTACAGGTAGGGCTCACGCACGCCCCCTACCCAGAAATGCAAAATCACGCGTATATACAGATGTGATTTTGTGCACCCCTGACACCCTGTAGCAGTATATCTGTTATAGGGTGGTGGGGAAGCGGTTAAAGAGCAACTTTTGTTGAGAAAAAAAATCCCATCTTGGTGACAAGTTTATATTGCATGGATTTTAACAAACTTTGTTGCAGATTCCTACCTGTTTCTGCTCTGAAGAAAAAGCTGTTTGAGCGCAGAGAGAATCTGAATGGGACTGACTTTTTCAGCTGCTGTGTTCTAATGAGGAAAGTGTCAGGGTCCGCATCCCTTTATAAATAATTAACTCTTTGGGAGCATCTCACGGACAATGACTTGTATCTTAGTGCAGATTTCTGGGAAATCAGTGAGACAATCACACAAATGGGAAATTACATTCCTGGAGGCATTCCATAAACCAACTGTGTATAGAAGGGCCCCCAGAAAATCGCAGCACTGCAGATTGAATAAGAAAGGTAATTTTAAATAAAATTCAATTACAAATCGGACTTGTGTAGCAATTGTACACACACTATATATATATATATATATATATATATATATATATATATATATATATATATATATATATATATATATACACACACACATATACACACACACACACACACACACACATACAGTGAGGAACAGAAGTATTTGAACACCCTGAGATTTTGCAAGTTCTCCCACTTAGAAATCATGGAGGGGTCTGAAATTCACATTGTACGTTCATTCCCACTCTGAGAGACAGAATTAAAAAAACAAATTCAGGAAATCACATTGTATTATTTTTAAAGAATTTATTTGTCTTGCACTGCTGAACATAAGTATTTGAACACCTAAGAAACAGCAAGAATTCTGGCTCTCAAAGACCTGTTACTGTGCCTTTAAAAAGTCCACCTCTACTCCACTCATTAATCTAACTTAGTAGCACCTGCCTGAGCTCTTTAAAGACACCTGTCCACCCCACAGTCAGTCAGACGCCAATTACTACCATGGGCAAGACCAAAGAGCTGTCAAAAGACACCAGAGACAAAATTGTGAACCTCCACAAGGCTGGAAAGGGCTACGGGCAATTGCCAAGCAGTTTGGTGAAAATAGATCAATTGTTAGAAAATGGAAGAGGCTAAAGACGACTGCCAGTCTCCCTCGGACTGGGGCTCCATGCAAGATCTCACCTCGTGGGGTATCACTGATGATAAGAAATGTGAGGAATCAGCCCAGAACTACAAGGGAGGAGCTGGTCAATGACATGAAGAGAGCTGGGACCACAGTTTCAAAGGTCACTGTCGGTAGAACACTACGCCGCCATGGTTTCAAATCATGCATTGTATGGAAGGTTCCCCTGCTCAAGTCACCACATGTCCAGGCCCGTCTGAAGTTTGCCAATGACCATCTGGATGATCCAGAGGAGGCATGGGAGAAAGTCATGTGGTCAGATGAGACCAAAGTAGAACTTTTTGGTCTAAACTTCACTTATCGTGTTTGGAGGAAAAAGAAGGATGAGTTGCGTCCCAAGAACACCATCCCTACTGTGAAGCATGGGGATGGTAACATCATGCTTTGCTTTGGGTGCTTTTCTACGAAGGGGACAGGACGACTGCACTGTATTAAGGAGAGGATGAATGGGGCCATTTATTGTGAGATTTTGAGCAACAACCTCCTTCCCCCAGTCAGAGCATTGAAGATGGGTCGTGGCTGGGTCTTCTAACATGACAACGACTCGAAGCACACAGCCAGGATAACCAAGGAGTGGCTCCGTAAGATGCATATCAAGGTTCTGGAGTGGCCTAGCCAGTCTCCAGACCTAAATCCAATAGAACATCTTTGGAGGGAGCTGAAACTCTGTGTTGCTCAGCGACAGCCCCGAAACCTGACAGATCTAGAGGAGATCTGTGTGGAGGAGTGGGCCAAAATCCCTGTTGCAGTGTGTGCAAACCTGGTCAAGAACTACAGGAAACGTTTGACCTCTGTAATTGCAAACAAAGGCTTCTGTACCAAATATTAACATTGATTTTCTCAGGTGTTCAAATACTTATGTTCAGCAGTGCAAGACAAATACATTCTTTAAAAAAATCATACAATGTGATTTCCTGCATTTTTTTTAAATTCTGTCTCTCAGAGTGGGAATGCACCTACAATGTGAATTTCAGACCCCTCCATGATTTTTAAGTGGGAGAACTTGCAAAATCACAGGGTGTTCAAATACTTCTGTTCCTCATTGTATACACACACACACACACATATATATCTTTTTATTGGCCATTTGTTTGCAAGTAACTGCAGTTACTCTTTAACCATTTGTTATCTTAAACTTAGATGTTACCTACCAGCATTGAAGAACTGTAAGAAAATCGAAGACTTTCCTGGAATTTTTCACCTCGTCAAGGCTGTATTCCTCTTGAAATTGTGAGTTCCTGCAGTAGATATAAAGTAAACGATAACTAAATCTAATCATCTTACAGGATGGTGACAACCACATATCCAAGCCTAGACACAGGCTCACAGAGCTTCATAAAAGTCTGATAAAAGTAAACTCTTATGGCATCGTTATAAAAAATGGCAACAAGAAATATAACTATAGAAGATCTCGATATATGAAGATGCCCCTTGTTACAAGGTGAAGGCTGGTCCTGAAATGGTTTTTGTTTTGAAAAAGCAGTTACAATTTCCAGGGGGAAAAATACAGGCTGCAAATGTTGACCTCCTTATCAAAACGCTAGCTGTTGGAAGGTCACACTGATTTTGGGACTTTAGCAATTTTAACCACTATCCCTCCAGAGGATTTACCCCCCTTCCTGACCAGACCATTTTTCGCGATTTGACACTGACAATTGCGCAGTCATGCAACACTGCACCCAAATTAAGTTTATGTCCTTTTTTCCCACAATTGGAGCTTTCTTTTGGTGGTATTTGATCGGCTTGGCGTTATTTTTGTGCAATAAACAAAAAAAGACTGACAATTTTAAGGAAAAAAAAAAAACTGTATTTTTGACTTTTTGCTATTAAACATAAAAAAAAAAAAAAAATCAAATTTCATCATAATAAATTAACACACACACACACACACATATATATATACATACATATATACATATATACACACACACACACACACACACACACACACACACATATACATATATACACACACACGTGATTTTGCACAGCCCTGCAGCAGTATTTCTGCTATAGGGCGGCAGGAAAGTGGTTAAGTGATGGCCCAGAGCAAGCATGCAGAGTTCACATTGAAGGCACAACTCCTGATTTGCATGCTCTTTCCAGGCCAGTGAATGAAGCCACTGAAGCAGCATAACAGCCAGGCAACCTGCATTTTCAGCTGATAGAAGGTCATATTTTGGGTTTAGTTACTGTGACTGACTATATAGATACTGGGAAAAATATATGAGATTGAAGCATCTATTTGGTTTCTAAGATCTGCAGATGGAGTAGGAACAAGGGAGGTTGGAAGGCATTGGAAAATCATAAATAAATTTATCCGTCGACAGAAGTGTCTTATGATTGACACCCCACACAATATGCAGACACATCAGCTGGTGTCATTATCTGCAGAGGACATGAACCTTCATACAGTTCCGGGACATCACTCCACACTTACGGGTTGTTTATAGAGTGCTTGTGATTCTTCCATGCAATCTTAGCAAAATGTTCTGGCGTTGTTCCTATGTGGGAGGAATAAAACAGAGTTTGACAAATGACAAAGAAGTGATGCTTCACATCAACCCCTATTCCAGTTCCTTTCATTTGTGGGTTGTGTACAAACATACAAAAAATGTAAAAATGAGAAATTCTTTTAAAGTAAGACCATGCTCTATTTGAAAAATCAGTTTTCTTATTTACCATTAAAGTTTTGATAAAAACTTGATAAAAACACAGGCAGCACAGTAGCTAAATGGTTAGCACTTCCGCCTGGCAGTACTGGGGTCGTTGGTTCGAATCCCAACCATGGCACCACCTGCCTGGAGTTTGCATGTTGTCCCTGTGCCTGCATGGGTTTCCTCCGGTTTCCTTCCACACTCCAAAGACATGCTGGTAGGTTCATTGGCTCCTGTCTAAATTGGCCCTAATATGTGTATGAATGTAAGTTAGGGACCTTAGATTGTGCTCCCCATGAGGGTTAGGGACTGATGTGAATGTACAATATATATGTAAAGTGCTGCGTAAATTGACGGTGCTATATAAGTACCTGAAATAAATAAATTAAAAATACAGGTTCAATTTACCCAAAAGGTACAGGGGTTAGAAAAAATAAATAAATAAATGGAAGCACTACATGGTTTTGCAGGTGTTAAAGTGACGTCACATTTCTCGTTGAAAGCAGAAGTGATGTATCATTCTTTTGCTTCTGACACATAACAAATACCCAATATCGTGGCGCCTCCTTATACCAAATACAGTGAATGTGGTAGCTGAAATCTCCAAACAACCAAATATTTCCAATTTCAATAATAGCAGCTGCCCCTACTAAGTGTGTACACACTAATTAAATGCAGAAAGTGATGGGCAGAAAGGCACTTGCTCAACAGATAGTTATAAACAAAGTATCAAAAAGAGTCCAATAAAGTGCATTTCCCAACACCATGAAAAACAAGTCTTTTTAGGAGGATGCTGGATCATGCCAGTTTTCCAAACCAATCTTCTTCACCACTTGCGTTACATAATTAAGTTCCACACTCACCAGAAAGTTCTGACCCCCTGTTAGGATGATCAAGCAGTGCTAGGTCCCCCAAGCATGTTCTCTTGTGAGGAGGCTCTCCAGACTCCCCTTCATTCAAGAATATCTTTCAGATGGGCTCAATAAAACAACAAATATCCATGAAAAAGCATCTAAGTGCAATATTTATTAAGAACCATGGTTCCAGATAAAATACATTAAAATTCCACTCACACGGTAAGGTGCCTAAAGTCCCTGCACCAGTTAATACAGCCTGTGTGTATGGATGTCACCGCATCTCCTACACTAGCCGGCATGCGTTCTAAACCTCGATCTTTAGAATGTCCTTTACTTCTCCCGTTTGCTTGGTCTGTGTCCCTGCCAGGGGCGGACTGACCATTCAAGCACTCGGGCACTGCCTGAGGGCCCAGGCTCTGTAGGGGGCCCCATGAGATGCCCCGGGTACCTTTCAATGGCTTTTTCATAGGCTTTTTTGGGTGTGGGCAAGGACACAGGGGCCCCATGATCCCTATAGCCTGGGGGGGGGGGCCCCATGAGATGCCCCGGTACCCTTCATTGGCTTTTTCATAGGCTTTTTTGGGTGTGGGCGAGAACACAGGGGCCCCATAATCCCCTATAGCCTGGGGGGGGGGGCCCCATGAGATGCCCCTGGTTCCTTTCATTGGCTTTTTCATAGGCTTTTGTGGGTGTAGGCGAGGACACAGGGGCCACATGATCCCCTATTGCCAGGGGGCCCCATGAGTTGTCAGTCCACCCCTGGTCCCTGCTGTCCTGCAGCAGAGCAGCAGAGAAGTGCTGCAGGACAGCAGGGACACAGACCAAGCAAACAGGGGAGAAGTAAAAGACATTCGTAGTCTTCATGCACACGGGACGTTTTGATAACGCTGGTAATATTAGCTGTGTAAAGTCACGTTAAACACATGACTTTTTCAGCTTTTTTAGCATTTTTGCATTAGTGTTTAGCGACGTTTTGCCATTTGCACTTTTTAGTTTACCATTTGCACTTTTTAGCAGTTTTTCCATGTTTTTCAGCGTTCGAGTGTTTTTACAGCTAAATAACTCCTCTGGAAACCCACAAGTTGTGGGGTTTTTTTCCAGCCAAAAACACTGATTCCAGTCTATGTGCGCATGGACACCTAGCATAACATGCTGGGGCGTTTACTAGCTGTAGAAAAAAAAAAGTCAAAAGCCAAAAGCAGCCGCTGTAAAAAAGTAAAGTGTGCAGGAGGACTCAAGATCGAGGCTTGGAACGCACACTGGCTAGTGTAGGAGATGCGGTGACATCCATATACACACACAGGCTGTATTAACCGGTGTGGGGACTGTAGGCACCTTACCGTGCGTAAAGAAGATTGGTTTGGAAAACTGGCATGATCCAGCATCCTCCTAAAAAGACTTTTATTTGTTTTTTATTGAAAAATGCAATTTGTTAGACTCTTTTTGATTTTTTTTTTTTTATAACTATATGTTGAGCAAGCTCCTTTCTACCTATCACATTCTGCATTCTTTTTCTTCTGTCTGATGAGACACCTAGCTAAAAGGTGGGAAGCCCCACTGTTCTCATGCGCTGCTAGTAATACAGAGTCATGTCAGAGCTTACGGAGCTTCAAAGAGAGCGAATTGTTGGTGCCGCTTAGCTGGTGTTGTCACGATCACACGGTTGCCGCCACCAACATGCGACAATCGCACGACCGCGACTAACAGTAATACGTCACGCCCGCGGCGTCAGACCCCAGACCTTCTCACCAACTGGTGACCGAAGGACCGGCCGATCTAAAACCGCGGTGTGACGCGCGTAACAAGGCCCCACCCAGCTGCACCCTGCACAGCGATTGTCCAGCTAATGGGCTACAATCGGTGCCTGCAGCCTGAATGTGCTTGTTACTGGGTCGGGTTAATTACGCAACTAACCCTCTACTGCCACCACCACTTTTGTCGGAGACTGGGAAACTCCGTTATCAAACATACACTATAATGATTGAAAAGTCGCCTGTCCAATACAGTCACCGCAGGCCGATTGGGCAGAGGATTAAACAAACACAGTAGCGTCTCTTCAAAGGCAGGAATTCGTGAATTGCAAGTAAGCACTTAGAAACAGTTTAACACTTTCAGAAAGAAGGATTTATTACTAAAAGAATCAAACAGGTGCAATAAAATATTTACAAAGAAAATGTAACTATATATAAAAAGGTACAGCAAAGAGATAATAGGAAGGAAATTAAAGAGTTCAGTTACTTGCCAATATGCCTTGGTTTGTAAGCAGATCCAAGTGCAGAGCAGGAAGGGTCTTTGATCTCCTCTGCTACGATGTTAAACTCAGGAGATGTGTGTTAAGCTTTCAGGCTTGCTAGCCTGTCTCTTTTTAAAATCCCCCTGCAAGGGGGGGGGGGGGGGGGGGGGTGGCTCTGAGTCTGCCCAATACAATATTTTGGGCAGGATGCCAGTGGACTCTCAATTAAAACTAACAGCTTCATACTCCATAATATGAAACATAGGGGAAAAAAACCCTGACTTTAAGAATGTTCAATTTTCTTTCAAGTCCAGGGAGAAGCTGCCTTTTTTTGATGGGTGAGCCTACACAAGTTTCTCAGGTCAGTGCTTTTAGGTGAGAAAGGTTACACTTCCGCAGACTGCCTGGCACCGGACTGAGGATGCCTTAACTTGGGTTGACCCCCCCATCTGTCAGGATATAATGTTTGCTTCTCAGGAAGGGAGGGGGTTAGGGAGTGTGAGGAATACTTCCAACACAAAGAAAAGAAAAAGGGGAACTCCGCATCCAACTCTGATGAGCTAGTCTGCTACAGGTGTCTCTGTGACTGACTGAAGTTGCCAATTTATTTGCCGTGTCGTGCGGTACGGCATCAAAAGGTTATGATGGCAAATACAGTTTCTGGAAAAAGGCACCCGATAAGCATATGCACGGTCGACACGGTCAACTGATCGAAAGACAAATGGGCATTGTGCAGGATTGTGACCCGGAATAGGAAAACAACTGCTGCAAAAGTGACTGCAGAGCTCAATATGCAGCCTGGCTGTTTCACAGTAACAAGGGTTCAAGTGGGATTTAAAGGAAACCTGTACTAAGAGCAATAGAGCGGACACTGCTGACTGTCTAAGAATGCTAGCTTTTTGGCCCTCTTTAAATATTTTAGTCAGGGACAAGTCAGGGACAAGCATACAAATGAGAAATTTAGATGAAATTCAAACCTCCTGTGCTGTATACTTCCCAATCAATAATTCACAATGTACGGATGCCACTGGCTAGGCAAGGAACATTTCCAGATGGAGAGATCAGCAATGGCATACTTTATATTCTATACATACATATTTCCTAATCACTTACCATATTTTTCCATATGTTCAAGACCGGCTCTTCCAAAAATCTGCGGGGCCAATGGAGCGGGCTCCAGGCCATATTTGTTTGCCAAAAGTTCCACATGCTTATCAATGGGGTTGGTCCGGTCAGCAAACTATAAAATGGACACAAAGGCATTTTGTTTTGTTCAAAATTTGGTGCGGTTATTTTGCCGATGAAGGCTTCATGCACACTGGATGCTTTGACCATCTCTCCTGGATGCCTTTCCTCCTAGAAGTGGCGTTTTGGCAGAAAAAACGCTTGACTCATTTGTAACACATTTAAGTGCATCAAGCGCTTGGACATTAATTCATTTATTTGGCCAGAATAATAATTTAATCTGGCCATTGCAATTAATGATGGCTTAAGCACTAAACATTTACATACGTTTAGGTACGTCAAGTGTTTTTTCCTGCCAAAACACCGATGTTCCTGGATGTGCTGGCAGTGTTTTTTTTCTATTCTAAACGCCCCTGTGTGCATGGGCACATAAGCTAATGAACGAGGGTGTTTAGAGGTAGGAAAAAAACAAAACTCCAGACTCCCCTAAGAGCAGCCTTAAAGTGTTACTAAATCCACAACAGTAAAATCAGTCTGTATATGCAGTAAAGCATTCTTGTTATACTCATTGTGGAACCTAAGGGGTTAATCCTCTGCATTGTGTAAAAAGGCCATGTGATCCTGACTTCCTGATCCTCCCCTTCTTCCAGTGTTCCCCTTTTATCTCCTGATAAGACATATTGTGTGGAGTCACTATGCACATGCTCAGTTTTGTGTGTATTGCTAGAGAGGTTTTTTTTCCTTTCTTGGGAGAGTGCATGTGATCAGCACAGGGCCAAACAGCACTGTCCAGACAGAGGTAAGGGGTTCTGCATCTTCCTAGAGTAAAATTAAAACTCCTCCCACAAGCTGTACCCAGTGCTCTGCTGGATACTGATAGAAGTCACAAGACTGCTCTAACTGCTGATGAGAAAAGGTATTTAGCAGTTTATATTTACTAAAATAATTGCATTTCCATGTTGTGTGTACTGTGGGAGACCAGACATAGTGAATGCAGGGTCCTGGGTTTAGTAACACTTTAAAAACGTCCAGTGTGCATGAGGCCTAAACTCAAAAGTAAAGATCTGCTATGTTAAAGGCCACATTTGAAATGTTAATGTTGTGCTCAGGAAATACCAATAAAACATACAGCTTTTGTCTTGTATTCCTGCTGCAAAATAGCAGTGTGCATTCTGGTATGTGAGGATATGCCTAGGCCAGGGGTAGGCAACCTGCGGCTCTCTAGCTGTTGTGGAACTACATTTCCCATGAGACATTGCAACATTACAAAACTGACAGTTACAGCTATGACTTGCAGAGGCATGATGGAACTTGTAGTCCTGCAACAGCTGGAAAGCCGCAGGTTGCCCACCCCTGGCCTAGGCTGTACGTGTATACAGCCTCATAGCTGTACATCTGCAGGGTGACATCTAAAAGACTGCTACTTCTGACTGTTGTCTCAGATTTGGTGATGCCGCTACTGTGCAGCTTGCTGTTCTCCTTGCTAGAGACTGACATAAGGAAGCAATGCCCTGCCATTACCAAGATGGCCGCCTCCACAAAAAGACACTTGGTAAGGCAGGAACGGTAGGAAGACCATCTGCAAGGCCCTCTGACTGCCTTTTTTTTGGGCACAGCCACCACAGCTCAAAGAGAAGTTCGGAATAGCAGAAAACCAAACATTTACACTCACCTAGGTGGATGCAGTATTGATGCGATGCTGCATCTGTTCCAGGCTACTTCTAAGAACTGAGCAATCAAATTTCTCAATTGTCTTTTGTTGAAGGAGGTGGTCTGGAAACTCTTGGCTGAACAGCACTTGCATCCAATCAAATGCAAGCACTGTTCAGGTATTCAGCAGCCGCTGGTGAGTACAATAACTGGCAGCTGGCATTCCCCTATTGGGAATGGATACGTTTATGGCCGCCATAACCGTGTATGGAAAGATCTTTTTATACAGAGATCAGTCAGATTTTTGGGGAGTCCTACCTTGAAGAAGTTTGAAAATCTATGCAGATAAGCTGGAGCCTTTTCCCCACACTTCCCTTCTGTTCTCCACTCCAAAGACCTCTATACTTGGCAGAGCAAAGCATACAATTTGATGGTGTACTCGGTGGACTGCTTTTTCCCAACTCGTCTGACCAGCTTAGATCTAAAGACACATTAACCACTTCCCGACTGGCCGTTGTATATAAACGGCCGGACGGTGGCAGTGCAGGGTCGGGTGGCCGTTTACAAACAGCCTCCCCGCACCCTGCTTGTGCGCACTCCCTGGGAGCGCGCAGCACCGCGATCCGGTGCCCACTGTGTCCTCCGGACACAGTGAAACACCGATCGTCGGTCGGGACCTCTCTACGAGGTCCCAATCATGTGATCACTGATTGGCCAATCAGTGATCACATGCAAAGTAGTAAGCAAGATGTCACTTGTGACATCATTGCTTACTATGTGTGAAATCTGTGAATGATCACAGAGGTCACATGGTACAAGGCTATTCACAACAGCCTTGTACCATGTGACAAGCTGTGACCAATCACAGCTCACTCAGTACTTCTCAATGACTGCAAGAATGCAGACAGAGAGAAAGAGAAATGATTGCTTTTATATCCTATATGGGTGTAAAAGCAATCAGTGTAAAAAAAAAAATCTTCATCACCCCCCACAAGTAGTACAGTGTCACCATGGTGACACTGTACTGCTAGGGTGACAGTATGTAAAAAAATAAAATAAAAAATAATATAAAAAAATAAAATAAAAATGTAAAAAAAAAAAATGTTTAAAAATTATAATTTTTGGTTATAAACTAATTTGGATTTTTTTTACTAAAAAGATAACGGAATAAATTTTGGCCAAGATTTGATGAAATATTATTTATTTGCAAAATTTTATTAAAAAAAACACTTTTTTTCAAAATTTTTGAACATTTTCATTTACATAGCAAAAAAAATAAAAATCCCAGCGGTGAATAAATACCACCAAAATAAAGCTTTATCTGTCTCCAAAAAAAATGGTAAAAAATTCATTTGGGTACAGTGTTGCATGACCGCGCAATTGTCATTCAAAGTGTGAAAGCACTGAAAGCTGAAAATTGCCCTGGTCAGGAAGGGGGTAAAAGTGTCTGGAAGTGGTTAAAGGATAAGTTCACCTTAATACAAAAAATTATAAATGCACATTTTTTTTTACAGGTAAAAAAAAAAAAAGTGCATTTGTATTTTTTGTTGCAGGAGCCTGTAACGTATTGCACCACCGATCAGCAGATCACTGGTGCCATGCAGGTCTCCTGCAGATCTGTCATTATATCTGCTTGCCCGTACGGGATATACCAGCAAGCAGATATACTGACAGGAGAACCCAGTGAACTACCGCAGTGCTCCACGGCGCAGTGACAGTTCATTGAGAACTACAAGCTGACTGCTGCTAAGACTGCTGGTACTTGTAGTTTCTCATTCACGGAACACAATGAATGAGTGACATGGTCGGATGGACTGAGCCCCGCACAGCCGCGGTTTTTTTTTTTTTTAAATTTGACAGCTAGCGAGGAGGGAGAAGATCCCCTGGTAGCTGTCAAAGCAGGGGGGTGGGGTCCAGTCTGATCATAACGTGTTACACCCTGAAGATGGGTGTGACATGTATCATAAGTTGAACTTATCCTTTAAACCAACTAATCAACCCTACAGCCACACGTACCAAAATCAATGGGCTAAAATTTCTCCCACCTTAAAAAGACTATGTATTTACCACCTCAATACCAGGCACCTTTCACCCCCTTCCTGCCCAGGCCAATTTTCAGCTTTCAGCGTTGTTGCACTTTGACAATTGTGCAGTCATGCAACACTATACCCAAATGAAATTTTAGCCATTTTTTTCACATAAATAGAGCTTTCTTTCTGTGGTATTTGATCACCACAGAGGTTTTTTTTTTTTTGCGAAACTGAATATTTTGAAAAAAAAGAAAGAAAAAAAAAAAAAAAAGAGCTTTCTTTGTTTCGGTTATAAAATTTAGCAAATAAGTAATTTTTCTTCTTTATTGATGTGTGCTGTGTGTGCTGATGAGGCTGCACTGATGGGCAGAACCAGTTAATATTTTTGTGTATCCACATGTATTATTATACAAAAAGGGGGGGGGGGGGATTTAATAAAAGTGGCGCACACAGAATCTGGTGCAGCTCCGCATAGTAACCAATCAGCTTCTAGGTTTTACTGTCAAAGCTTAATTGAATCAGCTGAAACGGTGTGCACCAGGTTTAGTACATCTCCCCCAATGTGTATTTTCAAGTTCTTTCAACTTATTCAGTAATGTTATTAGTGGTCTTAAACAGTTATTGTCATTTATGAGAAATACATGATCAATGCCAACCTTGGCCTGTAAAGATCCCCGCTCCATCTTCTCAAAACCGAGGGCTAGAACACAGTCTACCAGACCTGTGGGGAAATCAAATATGAAAAGCAATGAGCAAATGAGTTATAGGACAATGAATACAAGGAAACACTTCATCGAGGTAAAACAATAACTTGGTTCCATATGAGAGAGGATTATGGAGGTGATTTACTAAAGGAATACAGGCTGTGCAATTAGCAAAGGAGATTCGAAATGCATGAAGGGAAAACATGTTTAGGCTTTAAAACCGCTCCAATGATCCGTTGGCCCAAAACCTCCTCCTGCCTAAACCCTACCCACATGACCTATCCCTGACAATGAACTCTTAATTCTTAACCTTGCTTATAGACATAACCCCTCATCCTAACACATATTTACTGAAGGTATTTATATAGCACTGAAAATTTACACAGCACTTTACATATTGTAAATTCCCATCAGTTTCTGCCCTCAAGGAGCTTACAATCTAAAGTCCCTATCACAATTCATACATACACACACTAGGGCCAGTTTGGACAGGAGCCAATTAACCTACAAGCATGTCTATGGAGAGTGGGAGGAAACCAGTTTATCCAGAGGAAGCCCATGAAAACACAAAAGCATGCAAAGTAGTGTTCTGGTTAGGATTCAAACCGGGGATCCCAGAGAGCTGCAAAGCAGAGGTGCTAACCACTTAGCTACATTTACACTTCTATCTTCTAGATTGTAAGCTCTAATGAGCAGGGCTCTCTGTTTCCTCTTGTACCCAATTGTATTGTAACTGTAATGTCTACCTCACCAACCTGATCCCCAAGTACCACCCTACCCGTACCCTTCGCTCCTCACAGGACCTCCTTCTATCCTGCTCCCTGGTCTCCTCCTCCCACGCACGACTGCAGGACTTCTCCAGGTCCTCCCCTATCCTCTGGAACTCACTGCCCCAATCCATCCGACTGTCGCCTTCCCTCCCCACATTCAGGCGCTCCCTCAAAACCCATCTCTTCAGGGAAGCCTACCCTACCCTCACCTAACGGCCATTCTCCCTCATTCCTCCCACCACTTCATCCCCCTCAGCCACTTCATTCCCCTCAGCCACTTCCTATTGTTCCACTACCCCCTCCCTCCTAGATTGTAAGCTTGAAAGAGTAGGGCCCTCTTACCCCCTCGTACCCTGTCTGTTTTGTTGTACTGTGCCATGTATTGTCCCCCCTATTTGTACAGCGCTGAGCAAACCCTTTGGCGCTATATAAACTCGATGTAATAATAATAATAATAATACCTTTATTTTGTAAAGCGCTGTGCAAACTGTTGGCACTATATAAATCCTGAATAATAATAATAATATTTGGAACTTGCCTTCCCCGGTCTTCTAATAACCCACCTGCTCCTGATATAGCAGGATATCGCTCACTAGATCGTGCAGCTGTTCTTCAAGTTCATACCGGACAGACCCACAAATGTGCCCCATTCATTCCTACTGACTTCATAGCAACGTGCACTTACTCTTTAGCCTTTGCCCTAAATATGAGGCTCTGGCTACATAATAACCCAGACACCTGCTCCTCACCTTAATATTACCCAAACTCCAGGTCTAGTCCCTGGCATTAAATCACGTCTGGCAGCAGCATGCTTACTTTAATTGGCAGCTGAAGTATCATTGTGTAAAGTCCATTGCTAGTCCCACATGGAGATCTATGGATAAGACCTGGAAAATACTGGCTTGCAAGTGAAATGTAACCAACACTGCCTTAGTAGAAATACCATACCCATATCATTTATCTCCTGAAAATCCTGGCAGAACGTTGGCATTTGTAACTCACCTCCTTCAACCAGCTGTTTGGCCATGAAGAGAGCGGTGGAGCCAGTGGAGCAGTTATTGTTGACATTGATGATTGGGATTCCTGTGAGCCCCAAACTGTGATAGATTGCTCGCTGGCCGCAGGCGGAGTCACCTACAAAGCAAATACAGAACTTATAGCAAACGGTACACAGTGACTAGTGCATGGTGGGTTGGATCATTCAAACGTGGTTATCTGTGGCCCTAAAGTGGTTGTACACATTCCCAGGGGGTATTTACTGTGAGGCAAACAAGACGCTTGCCTTGGGCAGTATTTTTCAGGGGAGTGGAGATGCCAATGGAAGAAGGGACTCCCATGACAGGTGACAGAAGATGGGGACCAGGTGAGGCACTGCCTGAGCTCCGCCATGGGATCCAAGAGAGGCTGCGGGCTTCTAGGGGGTGTAGGTAGAGGCCGACTCTCATACCCGTACAAGGGCGACACTGGGGATGGCTGGCTGCTTTCCTTCTGGAGAGGTGCAGGTGAGTGCTGGAAGAACACATCTCTCTGTTTGTGGGTCCAATGATGGCTGTCTGGTCTTTCTTCTCTATTGGGAGGGGGGGCACGATGCCTGCGTTTTGTGTTGCCTAGGGCAGCGCAAAAACAAAATACACCACTGCACATACCCACTGAAGTGACTAGCCTCAGGTTGCACACAGAGATGAAACAAATAATCTTACATGAGTTGTACCTGTTTATATGCTGCCCTCTCTTCTCTACAGCCACCTAAAGCACACAGCAAGGCAAGGGGTGGGGATCTGATGTCACACACTGCACAGCTAAAGCACAGAGTTCTGTGATATCTGAAATCTTAGTGGAGGGAATGGACACCCACCCTCTAGACAATGTCACAGGGAAACATACATGGGTGAGGCTGTCAATCACCTGCTGTGTGCTGTAGTGTGTGTGTGTGTGTGGGAGGGGGTTCTTCTCCCATGATGCTGTGAAGGCAGCATAGGTTATTATCAGTGACTCATGCATACAGAAGAGGGACGAGAGAGCAGAAAGAAATATTGAAAGTATACACTATAAAAGGATATGCTTTGGTAATTTTTCATTTCTGAGGTTTACAACCACTTTAAAGCAGTGTCCTTAATAATTACAAGATAATAATGCAGAATATAGATTTTCATGTCATTACTCACTGTAACAGACCCCCCCCCCTCTCTAAAGCCAGCATACATAAGATTCTATCCCGTTCAGCCCCCCTGGCCAATGAGAGAGAAATCACCTGATACCACCCATCCACACTAAACAGCATGAATGGATGAATCTCTCATGCAACCAGGACTGTCAGAATACCCGAACTGTAGTTGCATCTGATTGTATGCAGCCACTGTTTGGCCGACAATTTTCCTTTTTTTATGGACAGGGCAAGAGGATGCCGACAGAGCAACCCTCAGCCCCGCATTTTTGGCTGTTTCCTCAAAAACCTGCTGAAATGTGCTCCATGTATGGCTAGATTAAAAGCTAAATTCATCTTTTGTAAAGAAAAAAAAAATAATTATATACTGTAAATATATATATATATATATATATAAATTATAATAATAATATCAGAAATGCATATCTAAAAAAAAAGTGCATTTATTTTTTTTTTACTGTGCAGCCTGTAAAGCATTGCACCCACAGTCAGCAGATCGCGGGTGCAATGCCAGGATCCTGCAGTCTTTCAGTCAGCTGTCTGCCTGTACCTCCCATTGTTGAAGTCCAGGAAGAATCAGTGAACTACAAGTGTGCTCACCAGCACCCTCACAGTTCATTGAGAACTACAAGCGGTCAGCTGCAATGGCATACGGTACTTGTAGCTCAATCATTCATTAATTCAAAGGAAGCTGTGAATGGATGATGCGGCCGTGTGGGCGGAGCCCTGCACAGCTGCGCAGTTTTTGAATTGTGACAGTGGGTGCAGGGAGAAGGTCCCCACCCGCTGTCCCAATAGGGGATCGGGTGGGTGCGGACAGGTGCTCTTTAATAACATATTTCCCTCTAAACACAGGCTTTTTGCACATGGACCTGATGTTTATATGCAGTTCCATAAAGGCGTTACACACACACACACACACACACACACACACACACACACACGCGTGTGTAGGTGTATAAAACATGTAAAATTCTACTTGTAGCTGCTATAATTCCATCACACTGCTACATACCATAGACATAGCCAACGCAGGCCTGTTCCACCAAAGAGTATGGTATCCCCGCATCTTCAAGAGCTCTCTGACCTGTAAGAGGGAGGAACACACAGCACAAACACAACAATATAAGTGACTAATTCAATTTTCAGAGTTCTTAACTTATTTTTTTTAAATCAAGTTATTTTTATGGAGGCAAATAAAAGATTTTCCAATTTTTTGAACTGTAAATGTACACAATGAAAAATGAAGACATCTACATCAGAATATCACATAAAGGTAGTAAAACGTTTGAGGAATGGCTACATAGCAACAAAACAACATAAAAGTAACAACAATCTCAATCCTACTTCAATGCCTTGTATGTAGAGTTTAGGTCGGTGCAAGGTCCATGTTTACCCGCACAGGGATGCAGAGGTGTTCTGTGCTTCCCAGGCAGTCCCATTCATGTCAATGGGATTGCAGCAGCTGCATGGACTTATGCAGGCCATACATGGTTCGAATTCCAAACGATTTTTCGTCCGAAAATCGAAAACGTCGTTCGCTCAGTAATCCAATGGTGCTATTAATGATTTAGAAAATCGGCCGGCCAAGTTAAAGTTCACCCCATATAACAGACAAAACTTCTGTTCCTTCCAGGTCATGGCTCATGCGCATATTCTTTTTGGAAAAACGATTGTACGATTTGACCATCGAGAGTCGAAAATTGGTCGTTTTTCATGAATTTTCCAACATGCCCGATCACCGAAAAGGGGAGGAACCACGAAAATCGGCCATGCCATTGACCCACTAACAGAGTGAAAATCAGCCAATTATTCTCAAGTCCGATTTTTGGATGAAAAAATCAGTCGAATTTCGACCCATGTATCGCCGGCATTAGTGTAATTCCACTCTGGGCTTGCTTACTACTTACTTCTGGTGAGTGCATTATGGTGGAGGTGCAGTGCGGAAATCACAGAAGTCACTACATTTTGTTGATTTGATCACATCACTATTTTTGGGACAATTATGATATTTAGAGGACTTATATATTTTCATTTGTTATTTCTTATACCGTCTATTTTGTTTCTTCATTGGAGTATTCTCTATTTCTTTTTTATGATGTTTCCTTTCTCTTTTACTATCACATTGGTCATCATTGATTATAACACACATTTTTATTAGTGCTGCAAATTGATATTATAGTGTTTTGTTTTGGTGGAGACAGAGGGTTTGCCACGTTGTGCTAGCTGCTTTACTTTTTCCTTTTTTGTCTTGCGCTCACCATTTATTACACAATGTTGATTAGGCAACTTTCACACTGATCCATAGAACAAATCACAGTAAAAATGCAAATTGCAATGCGTTTTTCGCAGGATGTGTGACTAAAAAACCGCATAAAAAATGCAACTTGAGTGCGTTTTGCCATGTTTGCAATGTATTTCATTGGGTATGTGTGTTTTCGGTGCATTTATTTAGCGCACAAAAACCACAGCAAGCAGGATTTTACTAAACACAGCGGACCCACAATGGATCAGTGTGAAGAGGTTCACTGGTTACACGTTTTTCTTCCCCCTTTTTAATGTAAAAAGGCCGAAGAAAACCAAAAGCAGTGTGAAAGTAGCTGTAATCACCACATGCTACACTCAATCTCTGTATAATCAACTTTGTAATGTAATAATAGGACTCACTTAAACTATCCAATCAATCTGTATACAATCAGGCAAGCCCTTGAACTACATACTTGTCGGTAGATCTAACAGAGCTTGTACAACCAGATTGTAACTTGTGTAGTGACCTTAAAGTGTTACTAAACCCAGACCCTGCATTCACTATATCCAGTCTCCCACAGTACACACAACATGGAAATGCAATTACTTTAGCAAATATAAACTGCTAAATACCTTTTTTCATCAGTAGTATATAGCAGTCTTGAGACTTCTATCAGTGTCAGGCCAAGCACTGGTTAAAGCTTGTAGGAGGAGTTTTCATTCTGTTCTGACTGTCCTATGAGGCTGCATAACCCCGGACCCTCTGTCTGGCCCAAAATAATTATTACAAAAAAACTCACTAGCGATACACACTAAACTGAGCATATGCAGGGTGACTGCTAGGGCTCTGTACTATCAGCAGATGAATTGGGGACAATAGAAGAAGGGGAAGATCAGAGAAGACAGGATCAAACAGCCTTTTTACACAATGCGGAGGATTAACCCCTTAGGTTCCACAGTGAGTATAACAAGCATGCTTTACTGCATATACAGACTGATTTTACTGTTGTGGGTTTAGTAACACCTCAATAGATTTGGTAAGAGATAGTAGAGTACTGTATGCAGTATTGTACATTTAGTACTCTGATGTCAAGCATCTGATGTGCGTCACTTCTGTTCTTTTTAGAATAGAAATACAGGCAGTCTAACAAAGGAGTCCATCCGTGATGAGGCCAGGGGACCAATGTAGGTCAAACCCGTCATACTTTTTGAAATTACCTAGAGAATCTCCTGTATTGGTAGGTATGTTCCTCTCTTTGTAGAGTGGAGAGGTAACTGTGATTTTCCCATTGACTATGAGTGGGCGGTAACAGATGTCTGTTTTTGAGCTGTATACAGGTCATAAAAAAGAATCTGGTAATAGGTACTTGAATGTGCTCTTCAATTATAAAGAGTTCATAAACTTAGCAACATTTTTCTATGTCGCTTTAAAATGTAAAAAAAAAAAAAAAAATCAGCTTGTAAAAACTGATAATCTTTATGACTTGTTTTCCAATAGTAAATCAGTTTGAACCCAGAGCTGAAATGCAGAGATATTAGAATTCACTTCATACCCTGCATTCACAGTTTCCTATCGAAAGAGGAGATAGGGACCTTTCCGTAGGTACTGGACATGTGTGCTGGGAGCGAACAGGGCCTAGACGCCAAGCGGCTGCACATTTGTGGCGTGAAGAGGTTAAAGCAGAACTCTAGGCAAAAATGTCTTTACATGTTCTAGTTGCTGATGTGCTACCTTCACTGAATACATCATCCATCTTCTGGTTCACTCAGTACTTGCTCTGAAATAGCCTATTCATTTTCAAATCAAACCGTTAATGCTCTTTGGATTCCTGTTTGTAAGACCGATGGCTGCTATGCCTCCTATTCCCCCAGCCACTGGTCCTGGCACATCCCTTTTCAAATTCTCTCTCCAGGAAGCAGTGATGTAATTCAGCCACACTTGCAGTGGTGGGCGGACCAAGACTCTCAGATACATTCAACATGTACAGGTCTAGTGTACCCGCCCACATTCACTACAATTCCTTGGGGGCGCTGGGAACTGTAGTTTCCTTTTATTGCAGAGAGAGAGGAGAGGATATGATATAATCCCGGCTGTTACACCTCTTCCTTGGCAGAGCAGATGCTTTTATTTTTTGAAATACAGAGGTGAGGATATGAAAATTCATTTAGACTTTTCTCCTAAATGGGAAGGATTTTCAAGCGTTTTGTGTACGGCGGTGTACTAATGAGTGATTTTTTTTGCCTATGCTGGAGTTCTTCTTTAAGTCAGACGGAGCCAGTGATGGTATAAAAGCTTGACTGCTTGTCATCATAGTGCCAATAACCCAATATGATATTTCAAGTATATTATTTTGTTAACCCCCTTTGTTCATTATCTCTAAACACACACAGGGGTGATTTTATTTAAAAAAAAAAACAAAAAAAACAAACTGCATAAGCGTTTGTCCATCAATACTGTTTGTAAATTCACTCTGTGCAATTGGCAACACTGAATGTTCTCAGGCTATATTCTCTGTAGATCTAATGTGTGATCGAAGAAAATGCCACATTGTGGCCACTAGATGGCACTGAATATATTAGGAAATAAGCATGCTCATCTGCTCCACCTAGTGCCCATAATGCAATATTTTCTGCATTCACACATTTCAACTTCCAGCAATATAGCCTGAGAACATTCAATTGTGCCCCATTCACACCGAATTCATTTATATGCAGTTTTGATGGACGAACAGCTATGTAAAATTTTATATACATACATTTCATGCAGACATGAAAGTGGATCTCCACCTGTACCATGTGTATGTGCATTTGGTCCAGTGAAGTTTTAAACTACTGTCAGTGTCCCCTCTGGGTATACTTTCCCTCATCTCCTGTTTTAGAGACTACCACTAGCAAGAAACGAAGGGAAATCTATCCAGCAGGGACAGAGACAGCCATAAAGACCCGATGAAGATTCTAACCCTTTCCCAAGAACTAAAAGTATTTTTAATTTTATTGCTGTCTTTGTCCCGGAACCACAGGTATCGCGCTAAAGAGCCCTTCAGACTAGGTCCACACTTAACCGCTTTGCAGAAATGCACAGCAGTCCATTTAACATGATTTCCTATGGGACAGGTTCACATCTCCGCATTTTCACCCGGTGCGTTTTTTTGGAAGGGGTCAGAGACTTTTTTTTTTTTATTAAAAGCAAAACGTTGCATTTTTTGGTTCTATAAACTTCAATGGAGATGGTGCAGAAAAGGATGTAGTGCGTTTTTGATGCGTTTTATTCTGCTCAGCAAGAAATTGAAAAAGAAAACCCTGCAGAATGCAAAACGCATCAAAAAACGCATAATGCACCGCAAAAAGCACTGCAGAAATGGATCAAAGGCAAACTGCATAGGTGTGAACATAGCCTCATGGAGAGTTCAGGTCTCCCATTTAGATGCCGGGATAATAAAGGGGATTGCTGTGCATAGGGATTTGATACTCAGTAATCCGCTCTGATACACAAAACACAAGATGAATTGGTTCCTTCTCTCACCAGCTTCCTTCGCCATGTCTGGATAATCAATGGAATCACGAGGCTTCAGAAACTGAAAGGAGAAACAGATCATTATTGATACCTTCTATATTACTAGATCAGATGAGTTCTAAAGTGAAAGAATTAAGAAATGGATGGCCTAACATAGGAGTGCAGGACTCTGCAGTCCTTCTACATATCAGGAGTGTATTGATAGGCATATGTTTTTATTGGTTTTGTTTTAGATAACAGTGGGGACGGGTTAGATCTCCTGTCAGGTCTTTATTGCTGTCTGGATCTCCATTGGGGGCATTAACCACTCTATTTTTCAATAGGAGGTAATTGGATACTCCAAGAATCAACTATCCCTAGTGTGATTACCTATAAATATTGAAATCCAGTTATATTTTGTGTATTGAGGAATACATCCAGCTCTTTTTTTAAAACAATACTCTATTGAGCAGGACAGAACATGGAAATGCAATTATTTTAGTAAATATAAAACTGCTAAATACCTTTTCTCATCAGCAGTTAGAGCAGTCTTGTGACGTCTATCAGTGTCCAGTAGAGCACTGGTAAAAGTTGTAGGAGGAGTTTTCATTCTCCTCTGACTGTCCTGTGAGGCTGCATGACCCCTGTCCGCTGATTGGACCTATGCTGATCACATGCACCCTCCCAAAGAAAACAAGAAAACATAAAACAAAAACCAGGAATACCCAATAAACTGAGCATGTGTAGAGTGACTCCTAGAGCTCTGTACTATCAGGAGATGGATTGGGGACAGTAGAAAAAGGGGAGGAGCAGAGAAGACAGGATCAAACAGCAGTTTTACACAATGCAGAGGATTAACCCCTTAGGTTCCACAGTGAGTATAACAAGCATGCTTTACTGCATATACAGACTGATGTTACTGTGGTGGGGTTAGTAACACTTTAAATCTCTTTTCCTCCAGACATAAAGAGTGCTCCCTTGTCTATTATTATACAGGATTTATATAGCGCCAACAGTTTGCTCAGCGATTTACAATATAAAGGGAGACAATACAGCAAAGATACAATTCAATACAAGAGGGATAGGAGGGCCCTGCTCTTGGAAGCTTACAATCTAATAGGGTGGGGCTGGTAGAACAAAAAAAGTATTAACTGTGGGGGGTGAACTAATGGGAGAAATAGAAGATTCGGTTATTAACTGAAGGCAGAATAGGTTTCCCACGAAGAGACAGTTTTCAGGGATCACCTAAAAGTGGACAGAGTAGGAGATAGTTAGGCAGATTGGGGTAGAGAATTCTAGAGGATGGGAGAGGCTCAGGAGAAGTCCTGGAGATGAGCATGGGAGGAGGAGACAAGGGAGCTAGAGAGCAGGAGGTCTTTGGAGGAGCGGAGAGGACGATTTGGGTGATATTTGAAGACAAGATTGGTGATGTAGTTTGGAGTGAAGTTGTAAATGTTATCTTTAATGGTTTGAATTTTATTTTTTGGGCAATGGGAAGCCAGCGGAGGGATTGGCAGAGAGGGGTGGAGGACAAGGAATTGTTGGTAAGGTGGAGGAGTCTATCAGCAGCAATATAAAAAATTTCCATAGCCATTCATCCATTGCAGGTATACTTGTTCTGTGCAAATTGGGCAAAACACAATTGTTCCTCAGGCTACTTCCTCTTCTGAATGAAGGGTTTTTTTTTTGGTTGAAGAGATTTTTAATGAATTGTTTTGCATTTTGTTACAAACACCTTGTGGGGCAAAAATGGTTGCAGGTTAACACAGCATAAAAAATACAATTTCATGAAATGGGAACTGGGTCAGGTTTGAATAATAAACTGGGTTGTTCTTATCCAGATTGTCGATACAGAAAAACAAAATACAACGAGTTGGCCAAACGGTCTGGATCCTCTCTATTTGAAGAGGTTCTGGGTGACGGGGAAGGTAGAGAAGGTGGGCATGGTAGACACAGGGGAGAAAGGGTAGATAAAAGGGCTACTGGGGGCAACATACGAGGGACGTTCGAGTCAAACTGGGACTTTTAACTTTACAGGTATAAAAAGGATGCCAGTGTGGTGGTACTCCCATGCAGTAGTAAGCCACAAGTGTGTCCTATTACTAAAATAATAAAGTGCAGCGCTAAGAAGGATGAAAAGTCAATAGAGTGATAATCTAGTATCACAATGGTGAACTGTAGAGATACGGATTCCCGCGGTTTCCACTTTGTCAGAGTAACAGAAATGCGCACTCACCGGAAACGCATGGGTTATGCGCATGTGTGATTATGCATCACGGGCAATGGGAACATCAGAATCCAGGCAGCCAGGCGTCTCCCTCACGGTGGGTCATCACAGACTCCTGTTACAGGTCCGGGGGATCCCCTTAAGGTAAGCCAGGTGCTTCAGGAGAAAACTCCTCTCAGGATGGCAAAGTGCTTTCTCTATGGGAGTGAAAGCTCCAGACAGGAGCCCCAGAAAACAAATGCCCAAAATAGTGTAGTATGTTCAGAATCTCAGGTTTATTTATAAAAACAGCAGCAGGTCAGTATGCATATGATACATCATGAAAATATGAAATGCATAAGGTAAACGATGCAGTACTGACCCCAGTGGTGTAGAACGCCGGGCCTCCTCGTGGCTCCGGCGGGTAAATGACGTCACGCTCTGTACAGTTCCTCCTTAGGCCTTTCGTGCTAAAGGCACATCATCAGAGGGGAGACTGCACAGAAGCGTGACCGACGCCAATGTCAGAAATAGGGGAATTGGCACATGCGCAATGAGCCGCGGCCATTTTCCCGAAGACGAACACACACTGCGCATGCGCGAGCACGGCAGCGCCATTTTGCCGTGGATCCGCGATCTACCATGTAGTGAGGAGGAGACAAAAAAGTCTCAGTGTGCAAACCCAGACACGGTTGTTAGCTATGTCACAGACCCCAGGGAATAAGCTGTAAACACTATACCATTATAGGGAGTGGAAGTGCAAATATCTGTAACATTAACCGTGCACAATATGATCTATGGGGTATAGAGATCCCCTCAGTGAATGGCATAAGCTATATAACGGACCATGGCAAGATGCAGAATACAAACGTATACATGCTACAAACTTCAGATATCAGGAAATAAAATGAGGATATAAAATTAAAACACAGATGTTATATATATCATGTATTGGGTCTGGCAGAATAGCATATCTAATATCACAATACCAGACCCAGTCAGGGTATTGGATATATGTCCCATAATAAATATATATGGAAACAACTGGAAATCAGGATAAACAGAGGTAAAAAACCAGAAACGCTTTAAAACTAGAAGAAAGGTTAATAAAAAACCGTATACTCCATTCTTGCGCCCGTCTCCCAAATGAACGCAAGAAACAGGGCGGAGGCAATAAGTAATAAAAAAGACTGGTATAACAGTCAGGATAGATATAAAATAAAATGCCAGATAATAGAATGTTATGCATATGGAAAAAAATGTCTCCCATGATAAATTCCAAATGCTAAAATGTTATACACATGGAAAAAATAATATGCGCTTGGAAAAATAACTCTCATGCTGGAAATAATCACATGATGAGAATCCAACATAATTAAAACATAGTATACAAGAGAAGCTCAAATCACAATATATGATTAAATGAAAAATAAAACCGTCAGTTGTTAGCAATGAAGCAATTGACGTCTACCTCAATGTTGTGGCCCAAAGGATGTAAAGTTTGGAGGTCAAACACCCATTTAGTTTCGGCTTGGGAAACTGCCCTAGTTTTATTAATACCCCTCCAATGGTTATTGATCACATCAATACCAATAAATTTGAGTGAAGAAGGGTCTTTATTATGGTGGAGGCGGTAATGATTTGATAATGAGTGCTCCCTAAAACCCTTCTTGATATTGGAAACGTGCTCACGTAACCGGTCACGTAGACGTCTTGTTGTCCTGCCAATATACTGTTTTTGACAGGGACATTGTAGTAAATATACTACAAATTTGCTTTGACAGGAGATGAATGTTTGATGTTATAAATTTTGCCAGTAACTGATGATTGGAATGTACTGACTTTCCTCTTTCTGGTATTGTCACACTTACAGATGATGCATCTATTACAGGGGTGAAACCCTTTTAGATCATTAAACAAAGAAATGCTATTAGGAGGATCCACAACATTTGGTGCAATCATGTGCCTAACAGCGGTTGCTTTCCGAAATACAATTTCCGGTTTCTCCGGTAGTATTGCTGTTAGAACTGGGTCCATTTTTAAAATACCCCAATTATTGTTCATTATTTTATTGATTGCCTTATATTGGGTTGAGAAAGATGTGATGAATGGGCAGATTTTTTTCCCTTGATTGTTCTTTGTTTTATCCATCAACATGGTGTTTCTATTCATCTGCGCCACTACCCGAATAGTCTGATCAAGGGTTGCCTCACTATATCCCTTCTCTAGAAACCTGTGTTTTAAGACATTGGCCTGAACATGAAAAGTCTCATCATCCGAGCAATTGCGCCTAATCCTCATTATCTGTCCTTTAGGAATATTAGACAGCCATTTGGGATGATGACAACTCCCAAGAGGAATAAAGCTATTGCGATCTGTTGCTTTAAAGAAAGATCTAGTGGTAATCCTGCCCATGTAGTTGACAAGAGTTAAATCTAAGAAATTAATCTCATCACTGCTATAAACATATGTGAGTTTGATGTTAAGAGTATTGTTATTTAATGAGTTAAAGAAGTTTATGAGAGACTCCTCCTCCCCATTCCATATAAGCAAGATATCATCGATGTATCTTTTGTAAAACAGCAGTTCAGGCCAATCTCTGGCAAAAATAAGGTCCTCCTCCCACCTGGCCATAAATAGGTTTGCCAGGGAGGGGGCAAACTTTGCCCCCATTGCCACGCCTCTTATCTGCAGATAGTAATCTTTGTTAAACCAAAAATAGTTCTTAAACATAGCAAATTCTAAAAGCTCTAGAATGTCCTATTACTACTGGGCAGTGCACATGTCGGGGGTCAGTCCAGAGACCGTTAACCACTTACCCTCCTGAGGATTTACCCCCCTTTCTGACCAGGCCATTTTTTTGTTACTTCACTGCGTTACTTTAACTGGCAATTGCGCGGTCATGTAATGCTGCACCCAAATGAAATTGATGTCCCTTTTTCCCCCACAAAATTGAGCTTTCTTTCAGTGGTATTTGATTGCTTGTGAGTGTTTTTATTTTTTGCGCTATAAAAAAAAAAAGCTGACAATACTGAGAGAAAAAGCAATATTTTTAACTGTTATTAAGCATGTCCAGTAAAAAATTTAAAAAAAATAAAATTTTGTCATAAATTCAGGCCAAAATGTATTCTGCGACGTCTTTGCTGAAAAAAAAAAATTCCAATACGTGTAAATTAATTGGTTTATGTGAAAGTTATAGCGCTTACAAGTGGCGGTATAGATACTGGAATTTTTTTTTTTACTAGTATTGGCGGTGATCAGCGACTTATAGCAGGACTGTGAGACTGCGGCAGGCATTCTGACACTGGGGGGAACTGACTTGGTGTCACTGATATCCCCAGTGACACCAATACAGTGATCGGTGCTAAGAAAAAAAAAAAAAAAGCACAGACATTGTATTAATAGCACTGGGCAGGAATGGGTTAACATGAGGGGCGATCAAAGGGTTAACTGTGTGCAGTTTTACTTGTGTCTGTGCTACACTGTAATCACACTGCTTTGGATGGCTGTGCTGTGCAGTGCAGTGTCCAAAGCAGTGTGCACGAGCTGACAGGGATGAGAACTGTATTGTTTACATACAGTTCTCCTCCCCGACGGAGATGCTCGGTAATCACCGGGCGCCGGTGAGTAATCACCGGCTGGAACCTGGTGATTGATAGCCACGAATGGCGGCGCGGGTAGAGGGTGCGCGCCCCCTATCCGGAAATGCAAAATCACGTATATACGTTTATACAGTGGGGCAAAAAAGTATTTAGTCAGCCACCAATTGTGCAAGTTCTCCCACTTAAAAAGATGAGAGAGACCCGTAATTGGCATCATAGGTAGACTTCAACTATGAGAGACAAAATGAGAAAAAAAATCCAGACAATCACATTGGCTGATTTGTAAAGAATTTATTTGCAAATTATGGTGGAAAATAAGTATTTGGTCACCTACAAACAAGCAAGATTTCTGGCTCTCACAGACCTGTACCTTCTTCTTTAAGAGGCTCCTTTGTCCTGCACTCATTACCTGTATCAATGGCACCTGTTTGAACTTGTTATCAGTATAAAAGACACCTGTCCACAACCACAAACAGTCACACTCCAAACTCCACTATGGTGAAGACCAAAGAGCTGTCGAAGGACACCAGAAACAAAATTGTAGACCTGCACCAGGCTGGGAAGACTGAATCTGCAATAGGCAAGCAGCTTGGTGTTAACAAATCAACTGTGGGAGCAATAATTAGAAAATGGAAGACATACAAGACCACTGATAATCTCCCTCGATCTGGGGCTCCACGCAAGATCTCACCCCGTGTGGGTCAAAATGATCACAAGAACGGTGAGCAAATATTCCAGGACCACACGGGGGGACCTAGTGAATGACCTGCAGAGAGCTGGGACCAACGTAACAAAGGCTACCATCAGTAACACACTACACCGCCAGGGACTCAGATCCTGCAGTGCCAGACATGTCCCCCTGCTTAAGCCAGTACATGTCCGGGCCCGTCTGAAGTTTGCTAGAGAGCATTTGGATGATCCAGAAGAGGATTGGGAGAATGTCATCTGGTCAGATGAAACCAAAATAGAACTGTTTGGTAGAAAACACAACTCATCGTGTTTGGAGGAGAGAGAATGCTGAGTTGCATCCAAAGAACATCATACCTACTGTGAAGCATGGGGGTGGCAACATCATGCTTTGGGGCTGTTTCTCCGCAAAGGGACCAGGACGACTGATCCATGTACAGGACAGAATGAATGGGGCCATGTATCGTGAGATTTTGAGTGCAAACCTCCTTCCATCAGCAAGGGCATTGAAGATGAAACGTGGCTGGGTCTTCCAACCTGACAATGATCCCAAACATACCGCCCGGGCAACGAAGGAGTGGCTTTGTAAGAAGCATTTCAAGGTCCTGGAGTGGCCTTGCCAGTCTCCAGATCTCAACCCCATAGAAAACCTTTGGAGGGAGTTGAAAGTCCGTATTGCCCAGCGACAGCCCCAAAACATCACTGCTCTACAGGAGATCTGCATGGAGGAATGGGCCAACATACCAGCAACAGTGTGTGCCAACCTTGTGAAGACTTACAGGAAACATTTGACCTCTGTCATGGCCAACAAAGGATATATAACAAAGTATTGAGATGAACTTTTGATATTGACCAAATACTTATTTTCCACCATAATTTGCAAATAAATTCTTTCCAAATCAGCCAATGTGATTGTCTGGATTTTGTTTCTCATTTTGTCTCTCATAGTTGAGGTCTACCTATGATGCCAATTACAGGCCTCTCTCATCTTTTTAAGTGGGAGAACTTGCACAATTGGTGGCTGACTAAATACTTTTTTGCCCCACTGTATATATATTGTGAATGAAAGTGAATGAGTTGCTTGCAGAAGTTACCTCTTACGTTGGGCCAAGTTTATCTTTTTACAGTGATGTTTGTTTTATTATACTGTAGTTAGGCCTTGTTAGTTAATTTCTTAACCCAGTGATCTTTGAACTTCTTCAAGTTGTTCAGGTAGATCTCCACTTCTCCAAGGTTGCCTATCCCTGCTCTATATCACACATGGGCGAATGTTTTATACATTTTTGGAACAATCCTATGTTTTTTATGTTGACCTAACTGGGTCTTTTTTAGATATGTTAATAAACATTATATGCTTTTATACAATAAAATGACATTGTTCACAGTGCCTCTATGTACCTGAAAAGTCAGGTATTCCAAACACGATTTTGTTTGTATGTCTGCGCCTACACTGACTAATCTGCGTGATAAAGATATATATACTTACCTATTTTCAGCCCGCTCTGGTCACATAAAGCTGCTCCCCTGTGTCATCCAGCAGCTGCTGCAGGGGAGAGGAGGGAGCACCAAGTATGACCCTGGTGGTGGAAGGCTTTCTTGTTTGGGGGGTGATGGTTGATGTCAGGCTCTCTCTGTGGGGGGATGGCCTATTTTTTTTTTTGCTGCCTAGGGCAGCACAAAACCTAAATACACCAATGTGTACGGACCTGGCAGCAAAAGGGTTAAAAGCCAGAAGCTACAGGATTTGTGGCTGCGGACTTCATTTTTTTTTGTTGGGGGGGGGGGGGGATCCTGAAGCTCAGAATTGACTCCAATCACCACACAACTTGGCAACTTTTAGGAACACTTTCCTCATCATCTCAAGCAAGGCCAGGGCATTGTACATAAAAAAGGCAAAAAAAACCCGCTTTCAATGGTGTAAAACCCGGCATACATCGGTTAAAAAACACTTTTAGAAAAAAACATGTAAAAACGACACATTCCAGAATCCTTGGAGGTATGCCTGCATGCGTGGTGACGTCACGGCTTCTGGCTCCTTCCAACGCGTTTTGTCAAATGACACCAGGGGAACTTTCTTTTCAGTTTGAACTCAACAAGGGGGGGGGGGGGGGGTTTGGTGGTATTCACAAACTATATTGTTGACTTTAAAGTTACTTCAATGACTGTTTTCACGTGTAATCCACTTGTTTTAGTGCTGCACTGTTTCATTTGCAGGTTGATTTATATAGTATATTTATATATATATTCTGTGTGATTTCTTTGCCCCATTTTATTCGTCCTGTACAAGTTGAGCTGAATATGATTTCCCCAGCCTGACCTCTGTACTGTGATGAAGATTTATTTCACAATCAAACCCCCCCGGAGATGAGTGATCGCAGTTCACACCGTCCTGCACCCTCAACACCCAGATTTTGGTCCAGCGCCCCCATGCACTGACCGCCCAATCCCATGCTAGAACTCCCCGGACACACCTTGGTCATGCCGACTCCCCACCACATACACCTTCCTGCGGACGGGGCCCATCTTCCCGGCGATGATCGGAGCACCTCACGGACTAGCACAGCGACACTGAACACCCGAGCTCTCCCAAGGCTCTTAAAGGGGCGATAATCTCCGCGACTCCTGACTGCCTGGAACTAATACCCGGCTGGTTTAAGGGGGCGGATCTGCTGTCAGGACGTAGACCAATCAGGCGGCGGAGGCGTGTCAGTCGCAAGGTTCAGAGGCGCCTGCGTGGTTGGGCTTCCTGTCTGTGGCCACAGGTGGCGCTCTCAGTAATGGGGATGTTGGTACGGCAACTGGCTGTGGCCCGGAGGGTTGTGCAGAGGGCGGTGAGCTCAGCGGCCGGCCACAGAGAGGTGCAGCTCACCCACCTGGAGGGGCATGAGGCGGGTGAGTGTGACCTGTGTGGGCGGGGAGTTCAGAAAGTTCTGTCTCCAGATGTGTCCAATCAGTGACGAGATATGAGTACAGGATCCCGGCCGTCATCCCTGATCCTGCAACCAGGCGGCTCATTGTACAAGGCCCCTCCCCTGTGTGATGTCATTGACAGTTGTGTGCAGGCCCGGCTGTGGCAGCTTCCCCCTGCACATCCTTGTGTCAGGTCGGGTCAGGTGACACAGTGGGCGGAGTGTGCAATGAGGTCCCATCAGATCTGTCCTCTATCGCTGCATCTTACTGCACGGCTAATGTGTGTCACTCTACCAGGGGGGGGGGGGGGGGGGTGTCAAACTGGCGGCCCTCCAGCTGTTGCGAAACTACAAGTCCCATCACGCCTCTGCCTTTAGGAGTCATGCTTGGAACTGTCAGTCTTGCAGTGCCTCATGGGACTTTGGCAACAGCTGGAGGGCCACCAGTTTGAAACCCTTTGGCTGCCAGAGCCGGATTTGCATTTTTTGCTCACGAATAAAAAAAAAAACATCCTAGGGCAGAAGATTACATAACCCCCCCAATACATGAGATATTTTCTGAAAGCAGACACACTAAGGGTAGGCAACCTGCGGCTCTCCAGCTGTTGCAGGACTACAAGTCCCATCATGCCTCTGCAAGTCATAGCTGTAACTGTCAGTTTTGTAATGTTGCAATGCCTCATGGGAAATGTAGTTCCACAACACTGATAAGCTGCACTAATGGGCATTGATGAGGCTACACTGATAGGCATAGATGAGGCAGCACTGATAAGCTGCACTGATGGGCATTGATGAGGCAGCACTGATAAGCCGCACTGATGTGCATTGATGAGGCAGCACTGATGGGCATTGATGAAGCAGCACTGATAAGCATCGATGAGGCAGTACTGATAAGCTGCACCGATGGCATTGATAAGGCACACTCATAAGCATTGATGAGCAACACTGATAAGCATTGATGAGGCAGTACTGATAAGCTGCACTGATGGGCATTGATGAGGCGTTACTTATGGGCACTGATATGCTGCACTGATGGGCATTGATGAGGCGTTACTTATGGGCACTGATATGCTGCACTGATGGGAATTGATGAGGCGACACTGATAAGCTGCACTGATGGGCATTGATGGCGGGTGGCCAATCAGTGATCACATGAATAGTATTAAGCACTTTCTGACATCATTGCTTATTACTAGTGAAATCTGCGAATGATCACAGAGGTCACATAGTACAAGGCTATTCACAACAGCCTTATACCATGTGACAAGCTGTGACCAATCACAGCTCTCACAGTATTTCTCAATGGCTGCAAAAAATGCAGCCAGAGAGAAGGAGAAATGATTGCTTATACAGCCTTTATGGGTGTAAAAGCAATCAGTGTATAAAAAAAACTCTTCATCACCCCCACAAGTAGTACAGTGTCACCATGGTGACACTGTACTGCTAGGGTGACAGTATGCAAAAAAAAATAAATAAAAAAATAATGTAAAAAAATGTTTACAAATTATAATTTTTGGTTATAAACTAATTTGGGTTATTTTTTTTTTACTAAAAATATAACAGAATAAATTTTTGGCCAAGATTTATGATAAAATATTATTTATGTGCAAAATTTTATAAGAAAAAACACTTTTTTTCAAAATTTTTGGACTTTTTAATTTACATAGCAAAAGAATAAAAATCCCAGTGGTGAATAAATACCATGAAAATAAAGCTTTATCTGTCTCAAAAGAATGCTAAAAAATTAAATATGGGTACAGTGTTGCATGATCGTGCAATTGTCATTCAAAGTGTGATAGCGCTGAAAGCTGAAAATTGGCCTGGACAGGAAGGGGGTAAAAGTGTCCAGACTGGAAGTGGTTAATGAGAAATCTGACCTGTAGAGGAAATTAAAGTAGAACATTCGATTTTGCCTATTTGCACAAAACAAATGTACATGGAGTTTTTTGGATAAATAGGTATGCAGATTTTTTAAAAAATAAATGCATCCCTATATGTCCGGAGCAATAAGAAGATACAAGAACGGTGATAACCACCCGCTTGCCTTTCAGGCCAGGGATCAATTCATCTAAAGATTCGGACAGATTGATGGGCAGATATCTCCCGTCTATGGATTGTCAGTCAGTCATACATGGATCAAAATTTGGCCGGTTCAGCAGGGATCAGCTGAATTGTGATCTATATAACGAGAATCCTGGTTGTACAAAAGTTGATCTACCAATGGACTTTTGTACAACCAACCTCTTAGATTTTTCCCAATTTCATTTTGTTGTCTACTTGACAAAATTTGTTTAGTTTTCCTTATGTTTTATTTGTTTTTGACCAGAATCAAATTTTTTCCAATGGATTTGAAGTGTTTGAATCAAATTTGAATTAAAAATATCAAACCAATCCAAATTTTATTATTATTAAATTATACAGTATTTATATAGCGCCAATAGTTCGCTCAGCGCTGTACATTACAAAGGGGGACAGAACATGTGACAGAACAATACCAATACAATGCAAAAACATGAGGGGATTGAGGGTCCTGCTCTTTCGAGCTTACAATCTAGGAGGCCTATATAAAGCCTGTAAGCCTGTAAGCATTGCAACAGTGATCAGCAGATGGCGGGTGCAATACAAGGCTGCCAGCGTAAGCTGTCTGCTTGTACCTCGTAGGGGCGAGCAGTTACACAATAAACAGGAACCATCAACGAACTCCCTAGTGTACTCACCAACATGTGATTGGCACACCTGCAGGAATCTGTTGGCACCCCCAAAGCCTGGCCATATACTCTCAATTTGTTTACCTTTGCTTTTCCCTAATAGTTTATCTGGGATTGAATCATTTGGTTATTTGGTGTTGATGGTTTGAAAGTGCACTGGAAAGCAACTAATTGCAGTTTTTAGCTGAGGCTGTATTTTTATGCAGTAAGCAGACATTCCCTTAGCCAGCCTCAAGGTATGGGGTTATGTACAGAACAATTACATCCATGAAATAGAGCAGGGGTCTCCAACTTTCTAAGCAAAGGGCAGTTTAATGTCCTTCAGGCTTTAGGGGGCTGGATTATGGCATAAACAATGCCCCATCATTGCTATTAATGGCATGAAGGCGGCCCCATTGTTTGTATTAATGGAAAGAATAGTGCCATTGATATTGTCATTGAGAGGAATGGTGTCACATCATTAGTGGAATAGTGCCCTAAGGGCAGGTAAAGGCAACCAAAGGGCAACATCTGGCCCCTGGGCTGCAGGTTGGAGACCACTGAAATAAAGGATACATGGCAATCAGTCCTAGGGGGTACAAAGAGTGAAAATCGAGCTCCATTCCTGCACAGGAACCAGGAATGATACTTCCTTAATGTTTTTTATAAATTTTCATTATTTTTAGAAATCTTACCTAGCATGTACTGACTATCCACTGCAAACGCATCTTGGTATTTAGAAAATTCAACCCACAAAGGCCTCATTACAGGCTCAGGTGAAGAATAGCTGGTTCTATTCTATTCGAAATTCGAATTTCAGAAAACTGCAGTTTTAGTTCTATTTTATTTTATTCTAATCTTTTTTTTAATTTTTATTCTAACCTATTCTATTTTGTTTTACGCTATTCTTTTCCATTCTCTTCTTTTCAAAATTCAAATTTTGAAAGACAGCTATATTTTGTTTTATTCTATTAAAAAATTGTAATTTTGGAAGATGCCTATATTCATTATATTCTATTGTATTATTTTTTATTCAGTTCTTTTTTTTTTAATCTATTCTTTTCTGTTCTGTTCTATTCTATTCTTTTATTTTCTATTCTGTTTTATTCAACTCTATTCTTTTCAAAATTTGAATTTCAGAAGATGGCTATATTAACACTAATGCACCGTCTTTGAAGGAAATCAGCAATAGTCAGCAATAAGTACATTTCGAATTTGTTTTTGAATTTGATTTGGTTTCCAAATTCTTTTCAAATTCAATTTGAATACGATTTAAGTTTGGATAATTCATTATTTCGGATGAAATTGAAGTTCATTTTTTCCAATTCGGTTAAATTCGTTACTATTGTAGCTCACAAAATCAGATACATCCGAAACTCCAAATACTGAAAATTTTGTCCGAATTTCGAATCGGAACAAAACGAACCACACATTTCTAGTCAGATATTTTTTTTTCAACCTGCTAGTTGAGTGGAGAAAATGATTAATGTTTTGGGCTGCCTTAGAGATGGGCTTTTTCAATGAATGATTGTGGTCTTCTCATTGATATCATTCTCTAATTTATATCTTTCAGGCATTGCAGAGATTGTTATGTGCCGGCCTCGTGTTAAGAACTCCCTGGGAAGATTATTTGTCAATGAGGTATGTTCCTGACCTTTTCAGAACTAAAGAATCCTTGGAAAACCTAGGGTCCCTCCAGAGGTTGCTAGGTGTTCCTAGCCTAATGCAGGCCATAGACGGGTCGAAAATCGGCCAATTTAAAAAAAAAAAAAAAACTAAAAAAAAAAAAAAAAAAAAAAAAAAAAAAAAAAAATCGGCCGACGTTACCACCAACGGTAAAAAAACGGCTGATTTTCGTCCCGTCTATGGCCAGCCTTATGGCCGGCATTAACCACAGAACTTCTATCCCTTGCAGAGACAGGGGAGCACACCATATGTGACAGCAATACATAAGAAGAAGAATTCCAATCCGCTATTATATTTTATATGAAAAAGTCTTGCGGTTGCAACAAATGTATCCATTTGTATCCAAATAAAAACATTGTAATACATTATTTGGATACAGATGTTTTTATTTGGATACAAATGGATACATTTGTTGCAACCGCAAGACTTTTTCATATAAAATATAATAGCGGATTGGAATTCTTCTTCTTCTTCTTCTCTATTCTTCTTCTTGCAGGTCACGGCTCATGCACAGATTTTTTATCGGTAAAACAATCAGCCGATTTGCCCATCATTTCTGGGAAAATTGGCCGATCGTCAACATGCCTGATAAAAAAAATGTGCAAAAAAACCTGAAAAACGGCCGACCGATTAACCCACTAACAGTGTGAAAATCGGCTGATTTTTTTTGTCGGCTGAAAAAAAATCGGCCGATTTTCGACCCGTCTATGGCTGCCACAAGGCTAGCACCCTTTATATAACTGCATTAGCATTTTTTTCTGTTAGAAAAAAAGGGTTTATTTTTAATTTTGTTATGTTTTTTTTCAGTGACAAAACAAAATGTGTATGCATTGCAGAGATGTATTGAATATTATTATTATTATTATACAGTATTTATAAAGCGCCGATAGTTTGCTCAGCGCTGTACATTACAGAGGGGGACAGAACATGTGACAGAACAATACCAATACAATGCAAAACATGAGGGGATCGAGGGCCCTGCTCTTTCAAGCTTACAATCTAGGAGTATGTTTTATTTTGTCCATACATACACTTTAGCTGTGACTTTTACTGGACTGCTTTGAAAAATATAAATATATAGCTGCCAAATTAAAAAAAAAAAAAGGATTTTGTTTGCTAAATCCTATCACTACAGTTATTAATGCCACAGAGTTACCAGAATACAGATTTATTTTTTTTTAGTCTTTTCACCAACCTGTCTTGAAGTTGGGCAATTCACACTGAAGATATGAAGATAAATACATAAGCCGAGGATGAATTCAGTAAATAGCTCATTAAAATGACCAGCAGAACCAGAGACATAATCAGAAGTTATATTAAAATCTTGACTTTTTCTGTAAAGTCAAACTTGGCCCCACCTCTTCTGCATTCCAAGCTCTCCTATGGATTTCACTGACCTATAGTGTGGTGTAGAGGCTTCGTGGTGGGGAGGTTAGGAGTCATGCTCCAAGTTCATGGAAAAAGCTGAGATTGGCATATAAATTCATCTCCCTATGTATGTATGTACTGATCCTTTCACATGTGATTTTCCTGAAGATGACCACGTTAGGTCATATGCTCAGTTTAAATTGCCTGGATTTAAATTCTTTCCTTTGGGAAAGAAAGGAAAGGGGAGACATGATTGAACTCCTTAGATACATCAAGGGGGTGAATGAAGTTAAGGGGGGCAGTATTTTTAACATGAACCAAGATCAAGAACATGACTTCAGACTAGGAGGAGGAAGGTTCAGAACTAATCATAGAAAGCATTATCTTTCCAAATGAGTAGTTGATGCTTGGAATAGACTTCCAGCAAAGGTAGTGAGTTGGTCAGCAGTATGTGGATTCAGACATGCTTGGGACAAACATAAATCTACACTCACAAGACAAACAAAAATCAAACCAAACAGAAATAAAACAAAAAAAGTATATAAAACAAAAAATGCGTGGCAGACATGGACTACTTGCTCTTTTTTCTGCCATCACTCTTTAGATTTGTGACAGGTATACAGTTGCAAGAAAAAGTATGTGAACCCCTTGGGATTACGTGGAGTTTTGCATGAATTGGCCATAAAATGTGCTCTGAACGTCATCTAAGTCACAACAATGAAAGAACACGGTCTGCTGAACATAATACTACACAAACATTAGATGTTGCCATGGTTTAATTGCACATAACATGTAAACATTCACAGTGCAGGGAGAAAAAGTATGTGAGGCCCTAGCTTAATGACTTCTCCCAGAGCTAATTGGAGCCAGGAGTGAGCCAACCTTGACTCCAATCAGTGTGATGATATTGGATATGTTGCTGACAGCTGTTCTGCCCTTAAAAAACACACACCTGTTTTGGGTTTACTGGTTTCAAGAAGCACTATCTGATGTGAACCATGCCTCGCAGAAAAGAGCTCTCAGAAGACCTACGATCAAGAATTGTTGACTTGCATGAAGCTGGAAAGGGTTACAAAAGTATCTCCAAAAGCCTTGATGTTCATGTGTCCACGGTAAGACAGACTGTCTACAAATGGAGAAAGTTTTAACACTGTTGCTACTCTCCTAGGCGTGGTCGTCCTGTAAAAATGACTGCAAGAGCACAGCGCAGAATGCTGCATGAGGTAAAGAAGAATCCAAAGTGTCAGCTAAGACCTACAGAAATCTCTGGCACATGCTAAACATTTTTGTTGATACATCTACAATAAGGAAAACATTTAAACAAGAATGGAGTACATGGGAGGACACCAAGGAGGAAGCCATTGCTGTCCCAAAAAGAATATTGCAGCACGTTTGAAGTTTGCAAAAGACCACCTGGATGTTCCACAGCACTACTGGCAAAATATACTGTGGACAGATGAAACCAAGACTGAGTTGTTTGGGAAGAACACACAACACTATGTGTGGAGAAAAAAAAGGCACAGCACACCAACATCAAAACCTCATCCCCACTGTAAAACATGGTGGAGGGAGCATCATGGTTTGGGGCTGCTTTGCTGCCTCAGGGCCTGGACGGATTGTTGTCATTGATGGGAAAATGAATTCCAGAGTTTATCAAGACATTTTGCAGGAAAACGTACGACCATCTGTCCGCCAACTGAAGCTCCGCAGAGGATGGGTGATGCAACAGGACAATGACCCAAAGCATACAAGTAATTCAACAAAACAATGGCTGCAACGGCACAGAATACGCCTTCTGGAGTGGCCCAGTCAGAGTCCTGACCTCAACCCGATTGAAATGCTGTGGCATGACCTTAAGAGAGCGATTCACACCAGACATCCCAAGAATATTGCTACACTGAAACAGTTTTGTGAAGAGGAGTGGTCCAAAAATTACTCCAGATCGTTGTGCAGGTCTGATCTGCAACTACAGGAAATGTTTGGTTGAGGTTATTTCTGCCAAAGGAGGGTCAACCAGTTATTAAGTCCAAAGGTTCACATACTTTTTCCTCCCTGCACTGTGAATGTTTACATGTTATGTGCAATTAAACCATGGCAACGTCTAATGTTTGTGTAGTATTATGTTCAGCAGACTGTGTTCTATTGTTGTGACTTAGATGACGTTCAGAGCACATTTTATGCCCAATTCATGCAAAACTCCACGTAATCCCAAGGGGTTCACATACTTTTTCTTGCAACTGTACATGAATGAATATCCATTGTTCTTTCAATAAGATTTTACAGGTACAGTGGGGATCGAAAGTTTGGGCACCCCCAGCTAAAAATTTGTATTAATGTGCATAAAGAAGCCAAGGAAAGATGGAAAAATCTCCAAAAGGCATCAAATTACAGATGCAGACGCCATTTTTTTGTTTTCTGTTATTTTGAAAGTGTAAATGATGGAAATAAAATCTAACTTTTGTTGACATATTATAAGAATGTCTAATCTGTAATTTGATGCCTTTTGGAGATTTTTCCATCTTTCCTTGGCTTCTTTATGCACATTAATACAAATTTTTGGCTGGGGTGCCCAAACTTTTGATCCCCACTGTATATAACATTTTTATAAAATCTTTTTTTATTCTTATCATGTGCCACTGACATCCAATGTTTCCCATATATCTGGTCCTAGTTCTTCCATACTGTAGACAGTCTCCGACATGACACCGGTGTCCGTGTGGTTGTGGTGAGGAGTGCAGTCCCCGGGGTGTTCTGCGCTGGTAAGTGACAGTTTGAGAACAATATTTACTATATGTAGACAATACGCAGCATCTCACATCAAGCTGTAGGGTACATGTTGGTCCTTCGTCTTTTGAAATTCTTGTGCAGCTCTTGTGAAGATATTGACAGTTTATATTCTTATTTGTTTTGCTGCAGTGGAGCTAATTCCGTGAGTATTACATGTTCAGGTCTGGGACACTGTAGTTTATTTATACCCTGCTCAGTCTCAGCCAGGGGCGGACTGACCATTGAGGAATTCGGGCACTGCCCGAGGGCCCCGGGGTCAGTAGGGGGCCCCATGAGATGCCCCTGGTACCTTTTTCATAGGCTTTTTTGAGTTTGGGGCAAGGACACGGGCCCCATGATCCCCTATTGCCCGGGGGCCCCATGAGTTGTCAGTCCGCCCCTGGTCTCAGCACTAGAAACATATGTGCTTAGAATACAGATAAGGGAACCCAGCTACTCAAAATATGTCTTGGTGTCTTACTTGGATTTGTTAAGTGACTGACATACACCTGGTCCACCTTTAAATGGCCAGTAACTGCAGCCACAGTAGCTCTCAATGACCCACCATTGGCAAAAATAATTTTCTTTTGTTTTTCTCCTTGTTCTTTATTATATTGCCATACCTTCTCCATTTTTGTTTGTATTTAATTTGTATTTTTTGTTTTATTCGTATTTATTTTATTTTATTTCTTTTCAACATCTTTTTATTTGTGTTTCATTTGTATATTTTATTTTTTATTATTATTTTCTTTTTGTTGTATTCTATTGCCATATCTTCCCCCATAAATGAATATATATATATATATTATATTAGTATCATATATTGATTGTTAAGCAGGTGGTAGTACAGAAAACCAATACAGAAGACATATGTAGGATGTCTGTAATGGGCATTACAAATCAAATCCATTGTATGGGCTATGAGTGGCCTGTGGGTAGTGTGGAAAAGGAAAGAAGGAAGAAAAAAGGGAGGACGATGGAATGGGAGCCACACAGTCCTAGAAGTCCAAGGCCCAGTATAGTGAGTACCTAAATAATGGCAATGTCCCTGAAACATCCGCCACAAGTGACCACTATTATTTATTACAGGTACTTTTATAGAGCCATCAATTTATGCAGCGCTTTACATATATATTGTACATTCACATCAGTCCCTAACCTTCAAGGGGCGTACAATCTAAGGTCCCTAACTTACATTCATACATACACATACTAGGGCCAATTTAGACAGCAGCCAATTCACCTGCCAGCATGTCTTTGAAGTGTGGGAGGAAACTAGAGTACCTGGAGGAAACTCACGCAGTCACAGGGAGAACATGCAAACTCCAGGCAGGTGGTGACGTGGCTGAGATTCGAACCAATGACCCTAGTACTGTCAGGGAGAAGTGTTAACCATTTAGCCACTGTACTGCCCGACTAGTAGAACTGTGCAAAGCTAGATGCTTATTCCTGTGTTTTAATCCAATCTGCCCAAATGTCATCACATTTTTGGGGACATTTCCAGCTGTAAGTAAGTTTATATAGAAGTAGGACCTGTTGATCCCCGTTCTCCACATAGGTATTGTGGGTAGGGTAGATCATTTCCATTTTAGAAGGATTTCATGTCTGGCATAGAAGGCAGTGTAGAAAACTAACAGTTTTTAAGCAGTGACTGGCCTCAATATTATCTGTTAGGCTCGGTTCACACTAGTTCGACTCCAAAGTCATGCGATTTCCAGTGCAACTTTGATGCGACTTTCATACAACTTTGCACTCTCTGGCACTCAAGTGACAAGTCACATCAGAGTAGTGCAGGAACCTTTTAAAGGTCACTGCGACTTTAGGTCGTAGATTGGAACGAGTGCCATTGAAATTAATTGGCTGCAACTTGTTGATAGGGAAACTGCATATTTCATATTCCTTATTAATGCTGGCTTCACAAATATCTAATGAAGCCTCTAATATCCTGGATATTCTGGTTACCTTAGCTGACTATAGGAATTTCATTGTAAGCTGACTGGACAAGCCAGCCCACTAATCTCCTTTCAGGAATGTATGGTTGCAAACTGACCAAGTCCCTAAAACAGTGGTGTCAAACTCCATTTCATCGCGGGCCTTATCAGCATTATGGTTGCCCTCAAAGGGCTGGTTGTATCTGTAAGACTAGATGTCCAGAGCACCCCCCCCCCCCCATTACATCAGATATCAAGAATCCCACACCCTCCCTAACATCACTGTGCTCCCCAGAGCTGGAAAGCAGAAAGTGCAGGATCTGGAGGAGGACTGGTGGCAGTTAGCAGAGTCTGCTGAATGCTGAAATCGGGGGGGGGGGGGGGAGGGGGTAGAGATGAGGGGGTGCTGCAGCTGCACTGTGCAGGATTTGGCAGAGGAGTTCTATTCTCTCTGCTGCCAACTGCTGAGACAATGTGGGGGCGAAGACAAGGGGGTGGTACCTGCAGGGGAGGTGCAAGGGCCACATGAAATGGCCTGGATGGCTGGACTCGGCCCACGGGCCTTGTGTTTAACACCTGTGCCCTAAAAGGTCATATTGCTTGCAAGGGGAGTTGACCATTTCCTTACATTCAAGTCCTATATTACCACAGCCATAACTTGTAAGTCTTAGTCTCGACCCAGAGCTTGCAGTCATGTATGCGTCTGTGATTACCTGTGCCAAGCTGCGCACGCACATGGGACTCTGTGGCGGAAACAGCATCTTTAGTTAAGTATTGTTATATTTTCTAAAATTATTATTGTTATCTGTATCTGTCAATCCTTAATTAAATATTACCTGTATAAGTATTTGTGTGATCTCTCTTTGCACATATCGAATACAACCCCAAAAACGTGACGACATACTTGTCATGCATAATATATACAAACAGTGTAGCGCTAAATAAATACTAACCATAAATGCATAAATCCGAAACCCCTCAATGCACAAAGGGGGGTACAAAAGAAAAAATATATATACAGAATAAATAAAGTGCAACACATGAATTCCCTATGGGAATAAATCAAGTCCAAATGTGAACAGTGTCATATAATGCAATAGTGAATGACACACAAAAAACACGCCAATATAAATCAAATAAAGGGATGAACATACATAATCAAATATAAGACCACAAAAGATGCATATATAAAATATATATATCTAATAATAGTGCTCCAAAACAATTCTCATGCAAGTGACTGTATGTGATCAATCCGTGATAATCCTTAGTGGCCAAATTCCCCCTCACCTCCTTACATCGACCCTACAGGATCAGCTCGCTCTGAGTAATACACCAATCTGAGTTGTGGTAAGATTCCTCACAGGCTCCCCTCAAGGTAATAAGCATTCCAATCCTTCCATATAGTAAGGAACGGACCTCCTGCACTAGAAATGAGGCCCTATCTCAATAGCTGCTGACACTTAACCTCCTACAAAAGTGAGTGAATTAACAATAAATAATACAAAGTGCAGCGCTAAACCTTAAATAACATATAAAAAGGTAATAAATATGTAAATACGTGCTCTAAACGTCTGTGCAAATGTGCAAAATATAAACCACTCAAAATAAGTCCATATGTAAATAGTGTCCAAAAAACCGCAATCTTCATGCATGTGATAACAAGTGTCCACACTGTGTGAATCCAAACAATGGCTACAGTGGCCCCTCACCTTCTTACATTGACCCCACAGGGTCAGCTCACCTTAGGATAAAACACCACTCTGATGTATCTCCGGATCCTCCCCAGAGTCATATACTCTGTCAGCAGCTTCCTCCCCGGTTCATATATAAACAGAAAGCTTTCATAGTGTAAAACTGTATTTATTCAATCTATTTATAATAAAAATGCCCACTCACATTTTAAATCTTCAATATCAGGCTCCTATACCTCATGCTCTGAATGCCTTGCATGGGTATTTGATATAGGGATTTCAAATATGGCCGCCACGCCGGAAATGACGTCACCGCGCTCCCAGAATCCTCCTCGCATACCAACGCGTTGCGTCACGATAGACACGTGACTTCCTCAGGGTTCAATCGTGATAATCCTTAGTGGCCAAATGCCCCCTCACCTCCTTGCATCGACCCTACAGGAGCAGCTCGCTCTGAGTAATACACCGATCTGAGTTGTGGTAAGATTCCTCATAGGCTCCCCTCAAGGTAATAAGCGTTCCAATCCTTCCATATAGTGCACAGCAAAAACTCTCTCCGGATCATAAATAAACAAGAAAATCCTCCATAGTGTAATTGGTTTTAATAATGTATATACAGTAACATAAAATGCCCACTCACATGCTACTACTTCTCCTCTGAACAATACTATATCACCTCATGCTAGAGGTGTACTGCATGGGTATCACAAACAGGTGTTCCAATATGGCCCTCACGCCAGAAGTGACGTCACCGCGCACCTGGAAATGCCTCCTCGCGTACTGACGCGTTGCGTCACGCTAGATACATGACTTCTTTAGGGTAAAAACACCACACATATGACACGTCACCCCAATCATTGGGTAGACGGTGGAAAGATTTTGTGGGTGCAAAGTTTATGTGGGGTGTAGTATGCTTGGTGAAGAAATTTTAATTGTAGGAATCTATCCCTGGCTGAGATCCTACATGGGAGATATTATTGCAAATATTCATCCTGGTCTTCCTCAGTTAGGGCCAATATGTCACACTTCCAATTCTGAAAGATGGGACCTCACCCTAGGGGCGTTAACAGTAATGTGCCCCCCCAATGGTATTTTTATTCCCCATTTTTTATTTATATCTATTTTATTTTCTGTTTTTACCAAATAATCCCCATGAGATGTCAGAGGATAGTTGGGACATGTGAAGACCTATGCATGCTACAGCTTGCATAAATATTGATGACATTATATTCTTAGCTGGGAGTTGTAGTCCTTGTCTGGCTAAGACCTTCATGATAGACTAGGCTAGGCACATGTCATGCATTGACTATTGAGGAGGTAAGAGTTTGATTTAATCCATTATTATACTTCAAAAACATTTGAAATGTAGCCCTATACTACACCTTTTTTCTTTTACTTAGGCGCAGATCTCAAGGAGAGAGCCAAAATGACCAATGCAGAAGTGTCCCTGTTTGTCCAAGACCTTCGAAGGTTAATGAATGAAATTGGTGAGTGTATCAGGCAGGCCTGGGTACGAGGGACTCCATAATTCAAGTGTTACTAACCCCACCACAGTAAGATCAGTCTGTATATGCAGTAAAGCATGCTTGGTATACTCACTGTGGAACCTAAGGGGTTAATCCTCTGGATTGCGTAAAACTGCTATTTGATCCTGTCTTCTCTGATCCACCACTTCTTCTACTGACCACATTCCATGTGCTGATAGTACAGAGCTCTAGAAGTCACTCTACACATGCTCAGTTTATTGTGTATTCCTGGAGGGTTTTTTTTTCTTTGGGAAGGTGCATGTGATCAGCATAGGTCCAATCAGGAATGTAAGGGGTTAATCCTCTGCATTGTGTAAAAAAACAAAAGCTGTTTGATCCTGTCTTCTCTGCCCTTCCTCTTGTTCAAATGTCCATGCTGATAAGACAGACTGAATCCGTAGCCCTTCTGCACATGCTCAGTTTAGTGTGTATTTCTAGAGGGGGTTTTTTTTTTCTTGGGAGAATGCGTGTGATCAGCATAGGGCCAATCAGCACTGTCCAGAGAGAGGTCAGGGGTTCTGCATCCTCCTAGAGCAGATCTCCTCCTACAAGCTTTAACTAGCGTTCAGCTGAAACCAGAAGACTGCTCTAACTGCTGATGAGAAAAGGTATTTAGCAGTTTATATTTACTAAAATAATTGCATTTCCATGTTCTGTGTACTGTGGGAGACCAGATATAGTGAATGCAGAGTCCTGGGTTTAGGAACACTTTAATGTATTAGGTATGTTACACATAACATCTGACACAGCCAAATAGCTACATTTCATAAACGTGAGCTATTTAACTTTGCGAGGGATTTGTATTTCTGTTCAGCCAGTCTTGTGATTCACTCAACTTTGCCACACTGACAGAAGATGACTCCACTATTTCATGGTACAGCTTTGAGGAATTGTTCACACTGATCACCTGGCCACTGGTGTATACTGCAAGACAACAGTGCCAATCCCGACACATTACACTGTTTACTTTTTTTTTCCACAAAACTTTATTGAAATGTCACAAATTACTTTTCAATACAGTCCTATTTACCACAATAGCATTGCAGGTGCACACTACAGCAACGTTTTGGCGTAGGGTTGCTACCTCATCCGTTTAAAACTGAACACATAATAATTACACAGGTTCTGAGGCTAAGTTAATGCAGATAAGGCACTAAGTGAGTTTTATTACCACCTTAATCAGCCCCAGAACTTGTGTAATTAACCACTTGCCCTCCAGAGGATTTCCCCCCCTTCCTGACCAGGCCATATTTTGCATTACGGCGCTGCGTTACTTTAACTGACAATTGCACGGTCATGCAACACCGCACTCAAATGAAATTTACTTTCCTTTTTTCCCACGAACTGAGCTTTCTTTCGGTGGTATTTGATCACCTGTGCGGGTTTTATTTTATAAGCAAAAAAAGACCGACAATTTTGAGAAAAAAAAACAATATTTTGGACTTTTTGCTATTAAACATGTCCAGTAAAAAAAAAAAAAAAAAAAAAAAACAAATTTCGTCAGAAATGTAGGCCAAAATGTATTTTGCGACATGTCTTTGCTAAAAAAAAAAAATCCCAATACATGTAAATTAATTGGGTTATGTGAAAGTTATAGCGTTTACAAATGGCGGTATAGATAATGGGATTTTTTTTTCTACTAGTAATGTCAGTGATCAGCGACTTTTAGTGGGACTGCGGTGGACATTCTGACACTGGGGGGAACTAACTTGGTGTCACCAGTGACACCAATACAGTGATCAGTGCTAACAAAAAAAAAAAAAAAACACTGTCACTGAAACTAATGGCACTGGGCAGGAAGGTGTTAATGTGAGGGGCGATCAAAGGGTTAACTGTGTGCTGGGAGTGTGTTACTAGAGGGCAGGGGGTGTGTTCTTCACTGTAAGCACACTGATTGGGATGGCTGTACTGTGCACAGCCATCCTGTGCAGTGTGCTTGAGCTGACAGGGAGGAAGATTGTTTGTAAACAAAACAATCTTCCTCCCTGTCGGAGATGCTCGGTAATCACTGGGCGCTGGCGGGTAATTACCGGGCGGGACCTGGTGATTGACATCCGCGGCCGTGAATGACGGTGCTGGTAGGGCGCGCGCCCCCTACCAGGAAATGCAAAATCACGTATATATATATGTGATTTTGTGCACAGGTGCCGCCCTGTAGCAGTATATCTGCTATAGGGCGGTCCTTAAGCGGTTAACATGTTTTCAGTTTTAAAGGGATGAGGATGCAACCCTACTGTCTGTCTGTGTAGTGTGGTAGAGGTGTGTGGCCATAAGACTGTGAACAAAGCTACCAATTATTTTTCAGGTAAGATTGTTACTTAGTTTAGCTGTATAGTTGGCTATTTGCCTGAGGATTTAAAGTGGTTGTAAACCCTTACATATACAAAGTGAAGTGAGTGGCTTCAGGTGATACGACAAATCCTCCTACATAAGTTGCACCTGTTTATCTGCAATATTTTCCTCTCTACATCTGTTCATAGTAATGGATTTATAAAAGCTTGTTTGAGAGTTCAGAAAAAAGGGGGCGAATAGTTAAAATTACACACTGCAGAGCTCAGTGAGGAGAGCTCTGAGATCTGATTGGAGGGAATAGGCACACCCACCTGCACACAGCTCAAAGGAACAGAGCTGAGGCTGTCAGTTTGCTGGAGATCCCTCCCGTCACCATTTTTCCCGTGGCGTCAGGAAAACTTGTCAGAAGTGATTCATGCTGATAGCAGAGGAATGGAGCAACTGACAGAAATGACCATTTCACATCAAGCCCGACTTATAGTGAAGTCGCACGATTTCAAAGTCGGGGGACCCTCCCATTTGAGGTGCGATTTGCAAGACATCTGATACAGATGTCTATGCAAATTGCACCAAAAGTAGTGCATGTACTACTTTTGAAACCGGTGCAGCTCCAACCAAGTCAGAACCGCACTGATATGACCACTCCAATTTGCAGACAATAGGGTGCGACTTGGCATGCAATTTGCAAGTCGCAGGGCATGCAAATCGCATGCCAAGTCACATCCAGTGTGAACCAGGGCTTAGTGCTCTTTAGTCAAGTACACACTATAGAAGGATATGCTTTGTTCATATTCATGGCTGAGGTTTACAGCCACTTTAACAGTTACCGCTGAGGAGCATACGATTCCACTGACAACTGAAGACAAATATATACCTGACTGATGTCATTTTGTTTGCTGGTCATTTGGATTTGGCATGTGGTGAGGGTCCAAGCAGAAGAAACTTTTGAATTTGGCATTGGAAAAAAAGTACATTAGCCAGAAAAGCCTCATCTGTTCCATTTTCTGATTTTAATGGGGTCAGACTTTCCTGAGTTCTTGGATATACTCCACCAAATTCAGTTCAGTGGTCCAACAATGCTGCCTCTGAAGGAATTTTAAAACTATTAAGGACAGCTGCCATGTTTCTTGCATTAGCAGTTCAATGATTGATTTTACTTGTCACCCTTTTTTATATAAATGTATTCAGTTTATATTTTCTTTCTATTCAGCTGCCCTCCCAATGCCTACAATTGCAGCTGTGGATGGCTACGCCCTGGGTGGTGGTCTAGAACTGGCGTTGGCTTGTGATCTCCGCGTTGCTGGTATGTGTTTATCAAAGGATAAATGAAAAATAACAAGGAGGCAAATGAACTGTCCTTGAAAAGGGGGTAAGGGCACTTTGTTCATTGCTGCACTTAGAGCCAAACTCCAAGCAGCTATAAAATATACAAATAAATGCAGCTGTGTATCTATGAATCAGTCATTAAATGTTTTTTTGTAATGCAATTTGTGTAAGTATCTGAATTTGAGTTGGTATCAGTCTCTTGCAATACCCCCATACAGCAGCACTCAGACTGGAAGAGGGTGGCAAAGGACCGGAAGCCAATCAGGTGTGCTGCACACAAATGTGCTGGCATGCTGATAGGAGAAGAGAGCATAGTCAGCAGAAAGATTGTCCTAACAATCTTCAGCTGCTCTCCCTTACTGTCTAATCCTCAGGCTGGAGATGGAGAGAGGACACCACTGTATTTCTTCTACATTCTACAACTCTATCAGAGAAAGTGGTGTCAGGTGCCGTGTTGTGCTGTGTGGTGGAACTGTTTAAATCTCAGAATTGGATAGACAGAAATACAAATTCTTTGCAGATAACACCACTATTTTTATGTATTTTATCTGTGTACTTAGCTGCTTGCCTGGAGTTCAACTTTAAGTAGTCAACATTGCATTGACATACTGATATATGGCCTTTCATAGAAAGTAGAAGAGAAAGTGGCCACAACCATGACCATCCGAGTCAAGTTGGTGTAGCCCTGGCCTCGGAGTCTCAACTCTTGCTTGCCCTGGGACCAGTAGAGACTGGCCCTCTCCTGATATTCTTCAGCCTAGAACAGGGGTCTCCAAACTTTCTAAACAAAGGGCCAGTTTACGTCCTTCAGACTTTGAGGGGGCTGCCCTGTGGCCATCAAGAGTAGAAAATGCCCTGGCTGCACTGGGGTGAAACAACATTGGTGTCAGTGGGAGGCTTATTGCCCTATTGTTGATGAAAGGGGAAGGAACAGTGCCCCATCATTGGTGTTAGTGGGAAGAATAGTGCCCTATCGTTGGTGTCAGTGGGAGGAATAGTACCCTATTGTTGGTACCAGTGATAGGAATTATGCCCCATTGTTGGTGTCAGTAGGTGGAATAGTACCTTGTATTGGTAAGGGGGAATAGTGCCCCCAAGGGCCATATAAAGGCAAGCAAAGGGCCACGTCCAGCTCCTGGACCACAGTTTGGAGACGACTGCCCTAGAAAACTAGCTAAAATTGAATAGACCTAATGGCAACAACCTTCATATATTGTAGCATCTTCAGCTAAACTGGGACTGATTGAAACTACAAGAGGATTACTTCCCGGAGCTGGTAAGGAGAAACATCAGCACTGTGGTACTGTCAATACAGAGTGTATAATGTGGTGTCATAACACGGAAGATTCTATTATTGACAGGAGGATCTCAACGCCTTCCCCGCCTGATTGGAGTCGGTTTAGCCAAAGAACTAATCTTCACTGGGAGACAGATTGAGGGGACCAAGGCATATAACATCGGACTAGTGAATGATGCCATTTCACAAAATGAATCCGGGGATGCTGCACATAAGAGAGCCTTGGAGCTGGCCCAGGAAATTCTGCCTCGGGTAAAATGCACTTTGGACTTCCCCCTATTTTATTTCCTGCTAATAATGATCACCAGGACAGAGAGGGCAAATCTCTCCAGTGGGGACAAAGACAGCAATAAAAGCCTTCTCTTTATATTTCTTCAATGGGTCAAATGTTATTTGTTCATAGAGAGGATTGAAAAAATACCACATTGTGGGCACTGGATGGAGCTGAGGATCATAGGAAGAAGTATGACCCTTAGTCCCATCTAGTGGTTATAATTCAGTATATTCCTGAATTACTATTTTTCATGAATGATTAACAGGCAACCTGTTTCGGAAATAGAAGAACAACAAGTCTTGTCCCTTTCACACAGAACAAAGGTAGCAGCAGTTTCACTGGACAAATAGCTATGCAATTTTTTTCCCATACGTACACCCCTATGTGAGACTGGTAGTGGGCATTTAAAGGAATGATTTTACTAACCCAAGAAAATTAAAAACGGAGTATATGATGAAAGATTAATTAGCATATGCCTGTACTGAGAGTCACATGTATAAAAGGGTCCAAATCTCAAGTTTGTGGTATGATTCAGAAAGATTGTAGTCACTGTATGTCTATCAAAAAATTAGAAATGTATAATTTCCATAGCATTTGCCCCCATCAGAGTACCCCCTTATATCAGGGGTCCCCATCAGAGTGCCCACTTACATCAGGTTTCTGCATCAGAAGGCCCCCTTACATCTGGTATCCCCCATCAGTGTGTCCCCTTACATCAGCTGTCTCCATCAGAGTTCCCCATTATATAGCGTCCCCCCACCAAAGTGCCCCCTTACATAATGTGTCACCATCAGAGTGCCCCCTTACATAATGTGTCACCATCAGAGTGCCCATTATATAAAATCCCCTCTTCATAGTGTCCTCTTACATAGGGTGTCACCATCAGAGTGCCCCCTTACATCAGGTGTCCCTTTACATCAGGTGTCCACCATCACAGTATTCCACCTTACATCAGGTATTCCCGTCAGAGTGCCCCCTTACATCAGGTGTCCCCATCACATCAGGTCTCCCTATCAGAGTGCCCCTTTACATCAGGTGTCCTCATCACAGCATCACCTTACATCAGGTATTCCCGTCAGAGTGCCCCCTTACAATATTGTGTCCCCATCAGAGCACCCACTAACATCAGGTTTATGCAGCAGAAAGCCCCCTTACATCTGGTGTCTCCCATCAGTGTGCCTACTTCCATCAGTTGTCACCATCAGAGTGCCGCATTACATAAGGTTACCCCATCACAGTGACCCCTTACATATGGTGTCACCATCAGAGTGCCCCCATCACATCAGGTGGGCGCATCAGAGTGCCCTTTCCATCAGGTGTCCCAATCAAATTGCCCTTTCCATCATATTTCTCCTTCAGCGTGCCCCGTAACATAAAATGTGCCCATTATCATGCCCCTTATTTTAGGATTCTTATTTTAGGCACTCTAAAGGGCACATTTTATGTTAAGGGGCACACTGAAGGGCACATGTTATATTAAGGGCACGTTGATGGGCACAATTTATGTTGTGCCCATCAGCGTGCCCCCTGTAAATCTCTTTGAAGTACGTACGTACGTACACACACCTTAAGGGCAGGCAGGGAGCGGGAGCTAGCAGAGGTAGCAAGCTGCAGGGGGTGGGAGCTGTGCCGAGAACCGTAAGGGCAGGCAGGGAGTAGGAACCAGAAGAGATAGTGAGCTTCAGGGAGCAGTGCGCAGAGATGCCTGCGGTCCCAGCAACTGATGACTGCTGAGCAGCAGGGATCTTGTACTTTAGACTTGCACGCTGATGGTCCAGACAGGAGCATCACTCAGTCTGAGTTTGGACCGTGGTCCACCATTCAATGATGGCTGCTTTAGAATAAGGTATTTACTTCTGTGGTTTTTTTTTGTTGTCATGGAGTGTTTTTTCATACAATTTAAAGTATAAATAATCCATATAAAAGATACACTTGCTGGACAAAATAATAAAACTACAGCAAGTGTATTTCTTTTCAGACACCAGCTGTAAAATAAGGAGTATGAAAAATATTGACAATCTGTTGTTCATATTGGTGGTAAATGAAAACAGACATTCAAATACTATTAAGATTAAAGCCTAACCCTGGGCTATTTAAAAATGCCCCCCAGTAGTACCAAAAAACCTCTCGGGCAGCAACACTCATCTTCAGCTTGGAGCTGTCCCCTGCAGTACTTCTTTTCTGCCATTCTATATTCAGTTTTTGGAGTTCAAATTATGCCCAGCTTCGCCCAGACTAAGAACTAGGGATGAGCTTGAGTTTGGCCCAAACCCATGTTTGTTCAAACCCAGAAGGCAGCTGTCAATGCCAGGCCTATCAGTTGCAGGCGGGGGATGGACCTAATTTCGCCACATGGCCATAGTAGGTTAGTGAAGTCACAAGCATCCCACGCATTTTGTGTACATGCAGCTGCAAAGCACGAAATCCACTATCCCCAGCTGATCGGCCTGGCATTAACAACGGCCTTCTGGGTTTGGGTCAAATTCATCCCTCTTGAGAATGTACTGTGCATGCAGGGTATCATGGTCTTGGCCTCTAAGGGAGGGTCACCACCCTCGATTTACAGTCTACTGGTGCAGAGATAGGTTCTGCATCACTGAAGGACTCATGTTGGAGATCAGGGAAGAAAAGGGCCCAGTGTATCACATAATTAGCCAGAAGACATCTGAGAAAGGTAAGTATATATATATATATATAAAAAAAGAAAACCCTGTAACCTTCATAGGTGTGGGGTATAGAACCAGGAGTGGTTATGGGAATTCCTGATAATTACAGATCTGTTTCCCCCCTTTTCTCTCTTGCAGGCTCCAGTTGCTGTCAGAATGGCCAAGCTGGCAATGAACAAAGGAGTGGAGGTAAACCGACACATACAGTAATAATGTTCATAACTGCATCAGTATTCTTCTGCTTTATCCTCGTTTGTAATATTTTATTTTTTGGGCTTGCTAAAACCCTGCACCGTTAGTACAGTTATTTTTCAAATTTACAAAACTGACTACTTTGTTCCCTTTTATTATGAGACTTTTTATTTTAAGATCTGCTAAAATACAATTTACAATTATCATACCAGCTAACACAGTCTATTAAAGAGAACCCCTTATGCAGGAATCCTATTATTCATTTTAAAATTATAACAGTACTGACCTACCTATGAAAAATGTATGTGTCCCCTTACACTAATTCGGAGGCAAGGGTGTGAAGTCACTCAAGGTCTCACAGTTGCTGCCTGTCACTAGCCTAATGCTGACAATGCACAATGATTAGCAGGTCAGGCAGCTATCAACCTGCAGGTGACTCCCGAGAGCCAAGAGTCAGACACTCTGGGGAAGATTTACTAAAAACTGGAGCACTCAGAATCTGGTACAGCTGTGCATGGTAGCCAATCAGCTTCTAACTTCAGCTTGTTCAATAATATGCAAGCCCAACATTTCCTACTTCCTGCCTGCCTTACCATGTACTTGTATGAAATGGTATCTTGTTCTCTTTGTAACAGTGTAACGGGTGTTCCTCCCAGTCCCTCTGCTTTCCTATCAAAATCATGACAGCATTCTCTGACTAGCTGTGCTGAGAACTGCTCTCCTCTAACGATCAGATTGTTCAGAGGCTCGCTTGCCCGCCCCCCCCCCCCCCCCCCATCTGCACAGCCATTCGCGGGGGAAGACCAGTGTGCTGCTGTTTCTCCACCCTCACCTCTCTGCAGCTGAGTGCAGAGGGTATGCGATCACTTATCAAAAAGTATTTCTACAGTTTTTTTTTTTTTAATATCCATACACAATGTTTTATCTTATATTTCCACAGTTGTGTTCAAAATAATAGCAGTCAGACATCACTAACCTGATCAATCACTGTTTTTGGTAGAAATGATATTTCTACATGGCAAATAATTTACTAACAGGTGTTGTAGAGTAATTGAAATCCAACAGACCCAACAGTCATGACATGCATGCTGCTGATTCTGTGTCACTGAATCACTAATTGAAAGGGGCATGTTCAAAATAATAGCAGTGTGGAGTTCTGTTAGTGAGGTCATTCATTCTTTGAAAAACAGGTGGCAATTATTGCCCTTATTTAAGGAAGGAAGGCAGCAAATGTTGTACATGCTGGTTACAGTGCATTTCTCTCTGAAATTCTGAGGAAAATGGGTCGTTCCAGACATTGTTCAGAAGAACAGCGTACCTTGATTAAAAAGTTGATTGGAGAGGGGAAAACATATAAAGAAGTGCAGAAAATGATCGGCTGCTCAGCTAAAATGATCGCAAATCCGTTAAAATGGCAACCAAAACCTGAAAGACGTGGAAGAAAGCGAAAAACTACCATTCGAATGGATAGAAGAATAACCAAAATGGCAAGGACTCAGCCAACAATCAGCTCCAGGAAGATCAAAGAAGGTGTAAAGTTCCCTGTAAGTACTGTTACAATTAGAAGACGCCTATGTGAAGCCAAGCTATCTGCAAGAAGCCCCCGCAAAGTCCCACTGTTGAAAAAAAGACATGTGCTGAAGAGGTTACAATTTGCCAAAGAGCACATTGACTGGTCTAAAGAGAAATGGCGCAACATTTTGTGGACTGATGAAAGTAAGATTGTTCTTTTTGGGTCTAGTGGCCGGAGACAGTTTGTCAGACGACCCCCAAACACTGAATTCAAGCCACAGTACACTGTGAAGACAGTGAAGCATGGTGGTGCAAGCATCATGATATGGGGATGTTTCTCATACTATGGTGTTGGGCCTATTTATCGCATACCAGGGATCATGGATCAGTTTGAATACATCAGAATACTTGAAGAGGTCATGCTGCCTTATGCTGAAGAGGAAATACCCTTGAAATGGGTGTTCCAACAAGACAACGACCCCAAACACACCAGTAAACGTGCAACATCTTGGTTCCAGACCAACAAGATTGACGTTATGGAGTGACCAGCCCAATCCCCGGATCCTAATCCAATAGAAAACTTGTGGGGTGACATCAAAAATGCATTTCTGAGGCAAAACCAAGAAATAGAGAAGAAGAACTGTGGAATGTAGTCCAATCATCCTGGGCTGGAATACCTGTTCACAGGTGCCAGAAGTTGGGTGACTCCATGCAACACAGATGTACAGCAGTTCTCAGAAACAGTGCTTATACAACTAAATATTCATTAAGTGATTCAAAGGAAAGCAAAATCTTCAAACATTTTTCAGTTTATATAGTGAATGTCTGAGTTTGTAAAGAAGAATACAAACACTGCTATTTGAACAATCTAATATTCACTTTTCTTACATTTTTTTAGAGGAACAACACAAATTTGATATATATTTTTCTTCATGTTTTGATTTGGAATAGAATGTGTAGTGTTCCCAATGCATTTGTGTGTATGGAAATAAAAGCTTTTAGAAGGATTTTGAGCTTTATTCACTTTTTTCAACACACTAAAATACAGTTGTGTTCAAAATAATAGCAAACTGTATGGGTTGTTTTTACAAGGTGAAGGTTTACATATACTGTAATCTTTGACAATAAAACCTGGAAGCTGATTGATTTCTGTGCAGAGCTACAAAAGATTTTGCACTCTCCAGTTTTAGTAAATCTCCCCCAAAATATGTTAAAAGGTGTAGTAATCATAGTTCTGTTTTAAGCAAGCATGTAAAATATTGTATTTAATTTTAGTTAGGATCCTGTGGAAGGAAGGAATCGTGCAATGAGGAAAATTGGTGGTTTCCCAAATTTCCTTGAAATTACCTATATAAAAAGTCATATGCATGTACTATATTCTGTAGTAGCGAGAGAGGTCTGTGATGACTACTGGTGGGCTTGATGGAGTTTTATGTTTTGCCAGGTGGATATTGCATCTGGAATGGCCATTGAGGGAATGTGCTATGGGCAGGTAAGCGTTAGTAATACGGACAAAAGATCAATGCACTTTCAGATATTTACCTCCTCGCTTTACATTCCAAGAAAAGGGCAAGAAGGCACGAGAGCAGGCCAGAATTATATGACAGAAAAAAAAAAAAAAAAAGATAAAAATATTTCAATATTTGATAGTTATGTGATTGAATTGGAATCTGTGAAGTTAAAGTGGTTAGAAAGGCTCAATATTTTTTACCTTCATTCATTCTATGCATGAAGGTGAAAACCTTCTGTGTGCAGCATCCCTTATACTCACCTAGACCCCCTCTCGATCCAGTGATGTGCACTGGAGTCTTGGCTATCCCAGAACTCCCTTGCCATTGGCTCCTGCTGCTGTCAATCACAATCGGTGAGCCAATGAGAAGAGAGAGGGTCAGGGCCGAACCACAGCTCCAAGTGTACATGGACAAAGAAAGCAGCGGCTGGAGAGTGCGCATTTTCAGGTGCCCCTATAGCAGTGCTTCTCAATCTGTGGGTCGCGACCCCTTTGGGGGTCGAACGACCCTTTCACAGGGGTCCACTAAGACCATCAGAAAACACATATTTCCGATGTGTACAGAGCTGTGTAGAGCAGCTGCTGTGTTGAAAGCAGCTACTCTGTTAAAAGCAGCTACTGTGTTGAAAGCAGCAGTATTGGAGGTAAAATGACACTCATGAATTATAATTACTGGGTAAATAATTTTATGGTTGGGGGTCACCACAACATGAGGAACTGTATTAAAGGGTCACTGCATTAGGAAGGTTGAGAACCACTGCCCTATAGTATTCTGCTTGCTGTAAGGGTACCCAACAGGAGGGAGGGGCTAGGAGTGCTGGCGGGGACCCGACTGCTCTGTGCAAAACCACTGCACACAGCAGGTAAGTATAGACATGTTTGTTAAATTATATTAAAACAATTTAAGTCTTTAGAATCATTTTAAGCTGGCCATACATTATACAAATTTCTTGTTCAATTTCCTTTAGATTTACTTTCAACTATGTGGAGCCTGTCTGATTACATACAAATTGAAAATGTTTCGGTTTGACCCCATATTATGTGGTTTTGGTAAATCTAAAGGAAAATTGTACAAGAGAATTGTAGAATGTATGGCCAGCCTAAGTTTCATTTACCATAACAATGTCATGTCTCTTAGGTTATTCCCACCAAGGATCGTATAGAAGGCATGGCGGCCTTTCAGGAGAAGCGTCCAGCTCACTATAAAGGGGAGTAATCAACAACTACTACTATCAACAAGCCTCTTTTTATAAGTTTATGTAATGTCATTTATTCCTTATATAGCCGATATACTTTTGTTCAGGGCATTTATTTTTATAAAAATGATCACTAGTGGTTGGAGTAACCATATGACTGATTGACTACCACAGCAGGAGCGAATGATCACCCAGCAAAAAACCAGCCTCAACCATCCAGTTCAGGGGCCATGCTGGACCTATGCCACTCTATCCTAGGACTTTCTTTTATCTAGTTAGTACAATGAGAAAGCTATTATCAGAGCCTAAAATTTGACGTGGGATAAACAAGAAACCATTGCCTCCTTTCTGAACTTGTGTTAAAATCTCAGACTACACATGCATTAAAATCTATTGAAAAAGTTGCTTTTTTGTGAGGATTTTTAAAGTTAATCTAAACCCAAGAACAAAAATGTAATCTATTACAGCTTACCAGTCCATAGTTGGTGGCGGTGTCTGCATGAGTTTTCTTTTTTTCAGGGTTTTCGTCCTTTATTTTCACCCAGTGATTCTGCCAGTAACAGATTTCCTGTCCTAGGGTGACAATGCTTATGCACCACATTTTATGTATGGAGGAACAGCATTGTCACCCTAGGACAGGACTCCAGAACACCTCAGCTTTTGTAGTCCACAGTAAAAGCTGGGAACAATATACGGTAATGGAAAAGAATGCAGTTGAGAGCGCAGGAAGTTGTGAGCGCTGTTTTTTTTTCCTCAGGATCATTACTTTTTTTTTTGTCACTTTTTGAATGGACCAAACC